TGGGGGGCGGGAGGGGATCCTGTCGGGACTGAAGGACGTGGGAGTCCCTGAGGAGGCGCGGGGCTCCCACCGGGCTGAGGTTCCCTGAGGAACTCGGAGGGTCCCGACCGGCCAAGCACGGGAGTCGCTTGGGAGGTCCCACCGTGGCTGAGGGGATGCGGAGTCCCTTAAGGAGCTCGGGAAGGAACTCGGGGCTCCCAGAGGGAATGCGGGGTGCCCTGAGGGTCACGGGGCTCCCAGAGGGGATGCGGGGTGCCCGCCGGGCTGAGGTCGGGGGGTCGCGGGTTCCCGAAGCTCCCGGTTCTCACAGCGGAGGGCTCTCGGCCGTGACCGCGCGGGGCCGCAGCCAGTGTCCCTTATCAGTGACACGGGCAGTGCAGGTGAAGGCTGCCGGCCCCAGGGTTTAACTCTTCACAGCTCCTTCCTGGGCAGGACCCACCAAACCCGGCGACTTTCTGCTTGTGGGGGTCGCAGGGAGGCAGCGGGGCAAAAAATGTCTTTGCTATGAGACGGAAAGCGGCAAAGTCGGCGAGTTTGCTGGTAATTAATGCAGGGGAGAAAAAAAAGCCTATAAATAGAAGTTGAGATAAACAAACAAAGCACAGCAAAATAAAGATGTGGACCTTTTGGAAATACCTTAAAGATAAGAAGTACAGGTGATGATAAGGCTTAGTTTAACCCAAAGAGTAACCATCTATCTGGAAACATTTTTATTTCAGAAGGTTGTTGTCATTTTTTTAATGAGGGGTATAAAGCGGGGTGAGGCTGTGTGTTGCTGAAGGGGTGATGCTTGGCTGGGTGCACTTGTTATCTCGAGGATAATGTCAGGAGAGAGATCTGATGGAGAAGGAGCAGACCAGGCAGCAGGCGGCTGATGCCAGCGCAGGAGGTGGCAGGGACAGCGGGGCTGCCCCTTTCGGTGGCACTGCAGGCTTAGTTTGCTTTAAGCCCTGCTTGAAACGGCACTTTCAACTCCTTGAGTGGTTTTTGGGACCTACTTTACCTCGGAAAGTAAGAAGTGCAAAATGAATGCTTCCCTGCTGCTTACCAAGCTGAAAAAGTGTCATATTTAAGCTTCTGCTCCAGTTTTCTAGCCAAGGAGAAAGGACCAGAACAAAGTTTCCATAGGAAAAACTATTCCAGCTCAAGTAAGTGGTAGGGGAGATCTCTGCTGCGCAGAGGGTGTGTCGCAGCAGGGGCACAGCGGAGATAATTGGTGGCCCAGAGAAGTTTCTGTCGCTGTCACAGAACCCCATAGTTGTCCTGTGTAATCTTTAAGTCCCTGGGGGCTCAAGCAGCCCAAGGTTTGGGTGGTGGAGAGAGCTGGAGCTCTCCTGCAGCAGCGCCAGTCGTGTGTGCTGTGCCTTTGAGGGACTGCGCTGACGTTTGTCCTTGATGCCGGAGCTCTTTTGGCAGCTCTCCAGTGAAGGGAGAGCAGATTGCACACATGGCTCCTTCAAAACAAAACTTCTTTCTCTGAAGTTGCACACTCCAAGTTGCCTTTCACAATTTCCCTGAGCAGATGTAGTGTGTCTGCTGCTGAAAGGGCCTAAGGCAGTGGGAATATTTATTCCCTCCCCCAAAGGGATTTGCTCCCTGGACCAATTTTCAGAGTCAGAACAGCACCAGTGCTTGTGCAGGGCAAAACAAAGGGGTCATATGGCTGGGGATGGAGCAGGGAAATGATAAACAGGAGGCCAACCTTCTCTGGGGACTTCCCAGCTGGAAAACTCAGCTGTGTTGGAAATCCACACCTTCACTCTCCCTGTCTAAGTGTTAGCATGCAAGCTGAGTGCAGATGGGGTTCGTTTAAATAACGGGGATCCACTGGCATAAAACCCAAGGGAGGGATGGGAGAGGAGGACCTGTGGTGTGCAGCACAAAGGAACATCTGTTGAATGGCGAATTTCAAGTTTTTCACTGAATCAATAGTGAGGAAGGTGAGCAAGAGTTAAGAAACCATCCCAACCATATGGCCTGCAGAATGAGGGCTCAAAAAGGTGGAAGAAACAGCTCCAGAAGGGACCTGGCAGATACATGACCTCTGAAAAACCCCTGAGGTTTGAAGATACCTGATGAAAGAGGTTGAGATTGATTCTGGATAAGCTTAGTGCTCCCTGAATGGCAATTCCAATAACTTGTGGAAATTTTAATTAATGGGTTTGTAAACTACAGCAGTACAGAACTTCCCCAAATGTGGTTAATAAAAGAATTTACACATTTATGGGATTGTAAAGTCTTAGACTTCTATACCTAAAAGCATAAATATCACAGCATAATAAAATACCTGTAGGTCACGAAACACCCCTGCTATATTTTCTCTTTTCCTTGCACTGACATAGACATATATTGTTTTTTGCATTAAAATAAAAACTTCCTGCTGCAACAGCTCTATTGATTTCACTTTGAAAATGAAGCTGCATCATTTCATTCTGCTCGTGTGGATCTCCCCAGAGGAGTTGCAGCTGTTGCCTTACTCACAGGCCTGAATATGTTTTGCTGGTTTAATACAAAACCCTCTTGTTTGGCTTTTCCTTCTCAGTTTACTTTAGTGGTTCTGCTCATACAGTTGTTAGGAATTGCATTTGACAGTCCCTCGTCAGTTTGTGGTCCCTGATTTATAGCACATAAAATGTTGCTCTTGGCTTAGAAATTTCTTGACACGAATGAAGTTTGAAAATAGGAAAATATCTGGCAGATTTTCTGATATTTCAGATAAGAAGTTGCCCATGAGTCAGTATCTCACAAGTCAGCTAAAAAGGGTTAGAGGGGATTTAGATGAATGAGCAGTAAGAAATACTGTGCTGGACCAGGAAAAAGCACTTAGGGCTGAAAGGAGGGAAATGGAATAAAGCTGGACAAATTTGGAGAGACAATCAACAGCTTACAGGCAAAGGTTTTTAAATGTTTTTTAGAATATATATATATATATTTATATAATGATCCCCTTAGTTTTGAGGTTCCCTGTGCAAATTTTGTTTGGAGACCGCAGTGTTTCTTATTTGGAATACTCTGGAAGGGAAGCACTAGAAGGGATTATGTATTTTTTAAAAATGTTCTCTAACTTTGCCTGTACCTTAAATCACACAAGTTTATAAACAGCTGCAGCAGTCTCTTTAAAAGCTGATTTTCTGACAGTTAGAAAGGAGTTGAGATAAAACTTACCCAGTTTCTCTGAGGGTTCAAGGGACTCACCTGTGACATCAGTACATCATGAGCAGCCCTATCTGTAAAGTTCTCAGACTTATCTAAGGCTGGGGGGTTGATAACAGAGAAATTCTTCTCACCTAATAAACGCTGTTGCAGATCTCCACAATAAAATAAATAAAATGCAAATAAATAATGGCGGCATGGGAACTGAGAGCTGAGGATTTCCTCTTGTACGCGATCGCAACTGATCAGGAGCAAAAATTGCTGCGTGAATATTTGGAGGAGGATACATAAAAATAAACATGATGGCTCTCCTGGGCCTTTTAGTCTAAAATCCAATTCCCTGTGAGAGCAACACCTGGGGCTGCTTTAGTCTTAATCTTCGGGGGGGTGAAAACCGAGGAAAAAGGAGATTCTTCTCCACCCCGCAGCTTGTTCACAGGCTCAGGAGGAATGTGGCTGTTGCACTGATTTGGGAACAGCTCAAGGACTTTGCTCTGCTGCTTCAGCTCCTTTAGCTGATGAGACAGCCACTCCCCATTTGAAAATTATTTTTAGAACAAGGGAAAATATAATTATCAATTCACGCATATTGTAAATGTGTGCCCCGTACGGCAAGAGAACAATGGGTTTTAAGTCCTGCTGCTGGTACCAGTTTGGACACAGCCTTAAATAGGGTTAGGATTTGAAGAAACACATCCCAAATACAAAATGCCTCTTGAAGTTTTGCCTCCTCCGGCTGTGAGGGTTGTTTGAAGTCAGTAAGATACATCAGGAAACATTGTATGAAATTGGATGAAAAGGCACCTTCAGTGCCATGTGCATCTGTAAACTCATGAACCATTAACACAGATGTCTTAACCAGCAGAATATGTCTCAAGTCCTCTACAAATGAGATTTAATACTGTTCTGTCTCTCTAGGGGAACGTAATCTTAATCCAGTTTTTTTGTTTTTTGTTTTTTGTTTTTTTTTTTTTTTTGACTTCTGCTGTTTCATTATTTACTTAGGAGCTGTCACCTGTGGTGAAGGGCATTTCAGCTACTGGTTGCAGCAGCTCTGCCTACCCAGAGGCACTGGCAGAGTTTAAATTCACTTCAAACTCAGCTGCAGCTGCCCTGGGGAGCCACAGTTTGAGAAGGTTTCGTTTTGTTTAAATGAAGGTAACTTGTTTTCTTTCTTTCCCCTTTACCACGATCTGAGGGTGAGATGGAATGTAAAGGGGAATTACAGACCTAATTAGCTCTTAATTCAGCTTTTTTAGTTAGTGTGAGCAAGCTTGGGCTGGAAAGTACTTTGCATAAGAAGCCCTCTTACCCCATGCAAGGAAGTCTGAGCAGGGTGATGTGTCCTGCTGTCACCCTGCTGTCACCCTGCTGTCACCCTGCTGTCACCCACAGCATCGGGCACAGGAGCTGTTGGGAAAGAAGAGCCAGCCAGGGGAAATGTGCTGGAGCCTCTGGAATGACTCTCAGCCATCCTGCCTTTATTTTGTGGAGCTGAGATTCCAAGTGCCAGACTCTAAACAGAACACCATTAAAAACAAATAGTGATACTAGTAGCTGATCCTTGGACCAGGTAATGAGGAGTTCTGTGCTACTTTATCCTGCAGCAAAGCCCTAACCTGGTGCTTCTGATGTTAAAAACTCTGTTGATAGGAAATATTTCATCTCCAGGTGCAAAACTGCTTTCATGCTGCTGGATTGCTTGTGGTAAAGTTTTGTAGAAAACAGGAGTTCCTTGTTTGTGTTTTAACGAACTAAGAAAATGAGTTATTTCATGCTTAAGGCTGAGAGTAGCCAAGATTAATTTCTTTTAACTGAAATTAATTTTAAAGTAGCACTTTGATAGAATGTGATAAAGATTAAAGCTCTGTAGGAGTTTCTCACAAGACAGGAAGGCTTAGAGCTACAGAAATACCTTTTGTCTCCCAAAAGCAAGAGTCTCTCTCTTCCCGCCTCCTCCCTTCTCACATTACTTTTAAATATCTCTGATGTGACCACCCTGGTGAGGATATTCAAACAGGGGCTTTTAAACCATCCAGTTATATAAAATACAGTGCACAGTCTGCTGCTTCCCCTGGATCCTTTGGAAGTGCTGTGCTGAAAAAGCAATGCCTGTTCCTGACCTGTGTGACAAATACAGATCACAAGTGGACAGTGGTGCTCAGGTTTGCTTTCATCTCTCTCTGTAAAGAAGGAATTTGGAGGCAGACACACAGAAAGTGAGGAAGTAACAGCATCTGATACTCATTTATGGCCATTAGACACTCGATTTTTACCATATGTTCCCAGAAGCAAACACAGCTCCTTGGAAAATGAGTGTGCTCCCAGATATTCAGATGAACCCAAATCTTAACATCACATCTCCTAATCCCTCTTTGTTAGGTTTTGGGCTTTTTGTTGGAGTTGCAGAAGCTTTGGTTGTTAATTACTGATTAAATCCTTAAATAATAGCGCTGGGTTCCTTCTTTCTTTGTAGAAAGCTTCTCCCACAAACATCAAACTGATTTTTAGGGATAAAGTTGCAGATAGCTGCCAAATTGAAAATGTAGGTGAGGGTGGAGGTGGGAGTATTTAATTTCCTGGAGAAAGATGATTATAGACACAATAAAAAAAAATAAAAAAATAAAGACAATTCATCCCTGGGGTGGTAAAACTTCCATAGGAATGTTTGGGTCAAATTCTGCAAAGAAGCAAACTGATTTAAGTGACTGAAGAATTCCTGTGAGCACAAAATGAGCAATTTGCATGTTTGTGTGGAATATGCTGTAGAAAGGAGTGTGGATATAGTGGAAGCATCTTGCAAGGGTGAGAAAGCAGGAAGAAAACCATCAATAAAACAGCTTTTTCTGCAGCCCTTGTCTTCAATTTGATGGCATTTAATGTATCCATTTTTCTGAGCACTGTGTTAAAATAGTCACTGTTGGATCCCCTTTGAAAGAAGAGAGTAGGTGGAAAGTTGAATTCCTGTAAGAAGGGAGGACAGAGGAAATTTTTTGGCTCTTGTTGCCCAGATAATATTAACAGAATGATAACACCAGAACGTCCTGCTCTGCAGAAAGTACTGGGATTAATTTTTGAGGTTACATTTGTTTAGCCCTGCTACTTTAACACTCTGGGTCCTGTGAGACAGTTACTGTTGTGTGCAATCATTAACTGAGAGAGAAGCAAATGTTCTGAGCATATGGTAGTGGGAGAAATAAATTATAAGTACCAATTTCTTAAGTTTTCATGTCAGGTTTTCATTCTCCTCAAATTAAAAATGCTTGCAATTTAAGCTGTTGATTGCTAGCAAGATTTTTAAACTGAGTATTACAAATCTTTCCTTGTGTTGAACTTTCAGATGTACTAACCAGACAGGATTTTTATAAAAATCTGCAAGATTTTTATAAAAGTTTTATAAATCTGTCTGGAAGTGAGTTATGTTAAAAATGGAAATCCATCAATGTTGCAGAGCTGATCCTGCAGAAGTTGCTCCAGAAAACTCCTTGGGGTTGTTGTGCTCTACTCAAGCCCTTCAGCTCATCTCTCAGGATAGGGTTTCCTTGGATAAAAACCCTTTTCTGGTCTAACAGGATAATGATTCTGATTATAATTAATGAAAATACAATTGGCTTTCTGTTTTCTGGTGGAGAAAACAGATACTTGCCCAGTAGCTGAGGCAGATAAAATACCAAATTGTTTAACGAGCACAGAAACACCAGGGAGTTAAATACAACTTTTAAATACAACTTATTTTCACATTTTTGGTTAAAGAATGAGTATAAAAAATGATGGGGACAATGGAAATTTAAATTGTCATTTTTTCTTGATACTGATTACAATAAAGCAGCTTTGATTTAGAGTTTCTGAGTCAAAATGTTCACACAAATGCTGAGCAGTTACTCTTGGAGATGGCTCATTAGAAATCCTGTGGCTTCAAGGCAAACTCAATTAGTGAAAGGGTTGCTTCTTGTTTAGCTGTATAAATGCACCATTTCTAGAAGATTTTTACATTCACTGGCCTGATCTTCAGCCATATCAGAAAATAATAAAGATAATAGGAAATTGTATCAACACCTGAAACCATTCTTGGATTTGGTGTTGTGTTTTTTTGTAAAATTGACCTCCTTCAGTATTGTTTATAAAAATCCTCTGCTATTTCAACACTTCTCTGTGCCACTGTTGTAAACTAAGGACAGTTCAGTGATGGTTGTGAAAGGCTGTGGCAACACACTGGAAGTGTTCAGTGATGACTGTGGTGCCTGTCCTATAAAACCTGGCTCATTTCATGTACCCTTCTTCACAGCAGTGATGCAATTCAGCAAAACCCCCCCCAGTACAAACACATTTTCAATGTGCTTTTCTGTCTCTGGAATGGGAAAAAAAAAAAAGCCATTATATGAAACACAAAACTTCAGCTCTTTGAAGAAAGTTTAGGAAAAGCTCTGACCCTTTTTCTCATGTTTTATTTGTAAAGGATTGGGTTTGCTCCATCAGAATCCATTTGGAACTTGCTTTTAGGTTTGGTCTGTGCCCTCAACCATCTTCATCCAGACTGTGTTGGCTTATTTTGTCCACCCCCAAATAATTAATTAATTGTTTAGCCTTTAGTTGGAATGTTGCAATTCCAGTCTCCCAGGGAAATGTTGTTATAAATATAATAACTGACATAATTATTGCAGTGAAATATTACATAGCAGGAGATGTGGAGCACATGTCCTGCAATCCCCAAACCAGCTTTTATTTGGGTTTTCGGCTCAATATTTCTGTATCGACATGTCAATGCTGACCTACAGCTGCCCCAAAGCAGAAACCCTGGCATTTCTAAAATATTTCCCACGATACAACTCTATTTTTAATATTGAGAATTTGATGATTTTTTTAAAAATTATTTCTTCTGTAGTCACCCATAGCCTTCAGGAGGAATTTTACACTTCTGTTTTGTGTCCTTGCTGCACGGTTCTGTGTTTTGCAACATGAAATGTGCTCTGCTTACTCACCATATTTGTGGTTTTAGAAATCAGACAGGATTGATTTGATTCTTTTTTGTTTGGGTTGTTCTTTTTCCCCGGGAGTTTCCTATGTGGTCTGTGTACGTCCCTTGAGGTCCTCTGCAGAGGTGTAACAAAATGTTAAATTCCCAGGAGCTGGTGCCTCTGTGAGTCTTGTTCTAGCCTCTGGTGATGTGATTTCTCGGTGTTTAAATGGGAATAGCAGCAATGTTACCCCACAAAGAAATGAACTTCAGGCAGATACATTGTGGCCAAAATTCACGTGTACCAAATGCTGGAACCGTGTGAGCAGACAGGCCTGGAACAGAGCTGGGGTTTGTGCTCCACACTAAGGGTGGCACAGTGAAATGCTTTAAATCTGGAGCTGTGTTTGGGAATGCTGGTGATAAGCTGGGAAGCTGGAATGCTGCTCTTGTGGCAGGCAGGTGCCACAGGCACAGCTCCTGCTCAGTCACAGCACAAGTGGAGGCACGGGCTTGGGAAGATTTCTTAGATAATCACCACTTTTTTTAATATTTTTTATTTTTTTTCCAAGCTGTAGAAGTGAGTCATCAGTTCTGTTTCCAGGTCTGGGCTGCTGAGCAGGGAATGAGCAGTTTGCCCACCAGGATTGGTGCCGAGGGGTTCAGTGCTGCTGTGGTTCTTGGCAGACCCCTCCCAGAGCTATTAACAGTGTTGTAGATGTTCAGAGGGGGCAGATCTGAGGCTCTGGGCCCTGGCAGAGCTAAAACAAGAATAGGCAATGTGCTAATATTGTCAGGAATAGTCTTGCTTTGGCAGGAATACAGATTAGACTACCTGATAAGTCATCTTTTAAAAAAAAATGTCTAGTCTTTGAGTCACTGTTACAGTACCAGGAATCCTACTTTAAAAAAAAGCCAACAGTGATTTTCTAATTTATTTTTTTTAATACAGTAAAGATAAAGGTGATCCCAAAGAAATCCTTATGTGATAAGAAATTAGGAAATATAAAGAGATTTTTGCTGGTCTGTTTCCTTCAATTCTTCATTACTCATAGAGGTGTTTCTCTCTAAATAATTGTGACTCCAGAGGAATTTCTTGTATTACCCTTTTAGAACAGCGGAGTCCATTAGAGCAGCACATGCACATGTCAGGCTTTAACAATTTCATGCAGTTAACAATTTCAAGCTGTATCCTCATGTTGTGCTTCCCTCATTATGTGAGTGAAAAGCCACAGAGAGATTCCAGCACTTTGGAGAAAGGCAGGAGCAGGGAAGGTGCCACCCTTTGCTGGAAGGCAGCTGGAGAGTGAGGGATGATGGAACAAAAAAAGCAACACAAGGATGGAGGGATTGATTGGGTTGGTCTGGCCTTTGGAGGTTGTAATGGGGAGCTGAGATTGGATTGCACAGGATTGAATTTGTATCAAACCTCCCCTCCAGAGCTGGAATCCTGTGGACTCTCTGGACTGACTTTAGAGCGTGGCTCATTGAAGCTGAGGGGAGCCAGGCCTGTTATGATGAAACACTGATTTTCTACACATTTCAACTGGGCCTTGTTGGGCTGCAGCAACATCTGTGCTGGATGAGATTTTAGCATTTCTCCCCTTGCAGAAACTCTGCTTTGTGCCCGAGTCCCTGAGCAAGGGAGGCTTGTTTGAGCCTGCTGCCCTCCCCATGCTGCTCACTCAGCCCTGCCTTGCCCAAGGCTCTGGGCTGGGTTTCAACACAAGTGTCAGCCTTGGGTTCCCTGGTGTCCTTATTGAAGGGACAGTGGTGTAAAAGTAAAATTCACCTGGGCACCTTGAAATGAAATCTTCACCCCTTGTTTTCAAGGATCTAGAAGCGAGACAGCAGATCAGCTTAGAGCAGCAAAATCGTGGTGACACTTTTATCTTCCACAAGTTATTACTCAGAAATTACTCATCAATGGGATTCATCTTGTGTAACCTTTAAACACAGAGCAGAGAATTAATTTGGTAAATAATCTGAAAAACCCCCCAATAAAAGTAGTTTATCAGCAAAATTACTGTGAGGTTTGTTTTTGCTGAGAAAGTGGATTTGTTTCATCACCTGCCAAACTTTTATGCAAATAGTCCAACCCGAAGCACAGGTATCTCTGATGGGTAGTGTTGGCCTTGGAAGCTCCTTGTTTCATGAAGTGCTGGTGCTGAGCTGATTGATTAGAATTGGTAGGAGACGATAAGTGATGGTCTGATGTTGAAATGTTCCTTTTGCACCTGTAAGATCGTTCAAGATCAGCTGAAGGCTGGCAGAAGGGCCAAGAAGGAAACAGAAGGGCTGCTTGTTTCAGGTGGAGGCAAGCACCAACCAGGGGGATTTCTGAGAGAAAGGGGCATGGACACATCTGCTTTCATTTCCATGGGTGCTGTCTGAGAGCTGTGCTTTGTTTTGGGAGCACTGAGTCAGCCAGGCAGGAGTTAATGAGGGAAGGCAAACAGAAGAGCCAGGGATGTTCACCCAGGCTGAGTGCTTCCCTCAAGGGGAAGATGCTTTCTTGGCACTGCAGCAGGGGAAAGAGGAGCAAACACCTCCTGTTGTACCCACCTGGAACCGTGACAGTGATGTTTTAATCTTTTGAAGTGAATAAGTTCCTGTGGCTGGGTAAAAATTCGCCTGTGAAATGGCTGATTCTGTTGGTGATATGCTCTCCCTTTAATTAAATAGCTGACTTACCTTGACAATTAATTGGAGTGATGTATTATTTTTATTAGAAACCCATGACTAATTTTTTCTTGCCGTTCCTGGTATCTTATTGTTCTTGTCTCACCCCCTCCCGAGTTCTGCTGTGTGCCAGCTGTGTCCTCCAGGCACTGGTGCAGACCAGTGTTCCCTCTTGCTTGGGCTTTTACCTATTCCAGATAAAGTCATTGTTTTCAGGTATTTTCCACATGGTGTTTCAGAAATTTTCCATTTCATCACAGTTTTGCTTTTTTTTTTTTTCCTATATTTTGTTTTGTTTTCAGAGTCTGGGATTCTTTACTTAAAAAAACCCCATCAATCACAAACTCCTCAAAACATCACCACAAACCCCCCCACTGTGTAATGTAGTTTGCTTCCTTTAATACCACATTTCCTACTTCATTAAAATAACTGCCAGGTTAAAAAAATCCTCCCTGCAGTCATCCCTGTGCCTGTAATCTGCTAGGAAACTCAAGTGAATTTTATATTTAATTACAACAGGCAAGATTCAAAATGGATGTGACTGAAGATGTTTCTGTTAAAATTGGAGCAGCAGCTACAAGGACTCAGTTTGTCCCTTATCCTGCTCTCCCTGCTGAGAAGAGCTGAGGCTCAGTCCTCTCTCTAACCTTACAACAAATGATGTGGACTATTCTTTACATTTTTTCCATTTAGGAAGCTTTAGTCTTTTTATAGGAAATTTGTTTCCATGGGGGAACTTAGGCATGGATGAGTGGGGAACAATGCATTGTTTGTTAAAACAAATTTTTTTGAAGGGAGTGGGTTTGAAAGGAAGGAAATGTGGTTTAGATTTAAGTTTCTTTTGAAATTTCTTCCTCTTCTTTTGCCTCATCCTCCCCACCCTCCCCCCCCCAAACACAAAACAAATCCTAACAACCAGAAGTCTCCAAATTGGCTTTCCACCACACACGTCTTTAAAAGATTTGGTATAATCTGGAAAGCCACAAGAAGTCTAAAAATCACTGTCTTGTGTATCCTTCCTTTCCCTTCCCTCTCTGGGTTGTCCTCCCTCAAGGACATGCAGTTTTTGTCTCAGCTTTTCTAGTCCCTATGTTGGGCAAGGTTTATTTAGCCTGTCTCTGGTGTGTGCATGTGTGAAGTTTAAGCCTCAGTTTAACCACGTGCTTAAAGCTTGTGCTGAACGAGCTCCTTGCATGCTCTGATCCCTGGGCTGCTCATTCACAGGATGGTTCTAGAAGGAGGAGGGGAGCAGACTCTGGGGGAGGAAGCTCAAGGCAGGAATTTTTAGTTTAATTTTTAATTGGCTGGGTTTAAAGCAGGCAGTTGGCTGGAAATCTCTCTCTCCCTTTCCCTAGAGGTCCGTGGCAGAGCTGCTGTGTGACAATCTCCTCCCTGCTGCTGGCTGCCATGGCTGATCCCATCACTGAGGAAATCGTGTCCCAAGTGCCCGAGCTGTGCTGTGAGTGTGGCCAGGCTCACCCCTTGCTGGACAATCACCTGTACAACTTCCAGGACGAGGTGGACGATGAGCTCATCTGCCACATCTGCCTGCAGCCCCTGCTGCAGCCCATGGACACGCCCTGTGGGCACACATACTGTTTCAAGTGCCTGGAGAACTTCATGCAGGAGTACAGCTTTTGTCCCATGGATCGCAAGAAGCTCTCCTTCCTGCAGTGCCACAAGTCCAGCCTCCTGGTGCGGAACCTGCTGGATAAGCTGATTGTGCTGTGTCCCTTCAAGGCTGAGTGCCAGCAGACCATGCAGCGCTGTGAGCTGGAAGCTCACCTGCAGAACAGGTGCATTCCCCTTCCCATCCTGTTATTGCTGTTGTGCTGCTCATCAGAACCTCAGAGCAGCTCCTCAACTGGGGCAAGGTGGGACACCAGAGATGCCAGGGTGAGGCTGCACAGGTGGGTGGGTGAGGACAGTGTAATTGTGGGTCTTCTCTGGAGGAGAAGGATGAGCTGCTCACCTACAGGCCATCTGCAGACACTAAATCTGTCAAATACCTGCCAATGTTTGTGGGTCCTCAGCTGGGGCACCAGCTCTGGAGTTGTTAGGAACAAGCTTATTCTTGTTCTTTCCCTCGTGCAGAGAAGAAAGGCACAAAGTCAAGGCTCTGAAAGCAAGGGATTGTGCAGTGCTGCCGGTTTAATTGGTCCAATTAAGATGTGCAATACATAAGTCTTTGATTCAAATAGTGCAAGTCCCTCCAAGCTGCACATTATGCACTTGCTAAATCACCTACTTATAATTCCATTATCTTCTCTTGTTCTTTTGCTGAGAAAGAGAAGTAAATTAAAATTACTGTGGGGTTTTTTTCCCATTCCTCTTGTGTGGAGAAAGGGAGAATTTTTGGTGCTTCACTGCCGATGGAGCTGTTGACAGGCAGGATATTGTCACTTTAAAAGGAGTGCAGGTGACAGAGCTCTTGCTGTGGTGTGTGGAGAACCCTTGTTCCTCCCTGGTTAATGATTTGCAGGGAAGGGAGCTAAGTGCAAGCCCTGCTGCAGGTGGAACAGACCTTCCTTGGCAGGGTGTATTTGTCAGCAGTGAGAAATGCCACAGGCTTGGTTCATTCAACTGTGTTGTCATTTGTTGTGGCAATGACAGATTTTATAAATAAGCCAGCCAGGGAACAGGTACACTTAGAACACCTTTGCAGCTCCAGCCAAGGATGACCCTTGTGGTTTTTGCTTCAATCCCCATGAGCTGAGAGCTCGTGTTAGAGCCAGGGGAGGGGATGGAAGGTGCTTGGGTGCCCCTTTCCCTTCAGTGAAAGTTTATAATCTCCTTTTTCCCGAAGCAGCCCTTTGTCCTGGCTGCTCATTATCAGGCTGGGGCCATGGCTCACACCAGGGCTGGGCCTTCCTCTGCTCTGCAAATCTGCCCTGCTATCAGTAAACTCCTGTCACTGGGTAATCCCTCTGGCACAGGAGTTACACACAGGGGAGGGAGGGAGAGAAGCACCTCAAATGTTTACATTAGAGACCTGCCTGAAAACTGTATCATTCTCTTATATATTTCACAGTTGCTTGTGTCTTTCTTGGGGACAGAGTATTCTAAGATTCCAGACTATTTCACCTGGGCTGTTTGACACAGTCAGACTGGAAAATAATGAGAGAAAAAAACCCAACAAACTGATAAGAAAATTGAACTGGGATCTGGGGTTTTTCTTGTTTTAAGTGAGATTAATAATTTAATAATTAATAATTTAACTGATAGGAAAATTTAATAATTAATAATTTAATTGATAGGAAAAGATTTAAGGAAATAAGAAGCACACAGTAACTTATTTTCTCAGGGGATTTCCCTGCCTTTTGTAAATTGAATTTGTGTTTTGGTATCTTAAGAGGGACATGTACACAAGTGGATCACTCAGCTTCTGTCATTAAGTTCAGGGTTATTTTACTGCTTGGAGAATAAATAAGTAGGAATAAACCAGATGATGTAATACTGGGATGAGACTTCTTCAGCCAGAATGTAAATAGTTCAGTTTAATTTGAAAAGTGACTCTGCTAAACACCCAATACTACTCATGTCTCTAAAAGTGATGTTTTTGCATTTATCACCTCCTCACCTGTCATCTTTTTTATAAATGCTTGTGATAAAAGAGCTCACCCATTAGTGCTGGGACAGGCTGGTGATATATCTGCATCCAGGGCACATTTTGTGTGTACAGCTGCATCCCAGTTCTGGGATCTCTGTGTGGAGCAGTCAGTGGGATTAGGAATTCAATTGCTCCCATTCAGGTAGAGCCATCACCTGCACGGACTGGGAGTGCACCCAGGCCCAGGCCTCATTCCACAGCAGAAAATGCTCAATCCTCCCTTGCTGCTCTTGTGTGTAGCTGATGTGTTAAAACAAAGCCTAATTCAAGGCTGAGCTTGAAACTTGAGCCACTTTCTTTGCATCAAGGTACAGTTCACAGTGATCTCTACAACGTCAGAGCTCAGTGTTTGCTTATATTTAAAGATTGTTTTCTTCATGGAGTGTTTGCCAGGTAAATATTTAGCAAGGGAGACTCCTGTTTCTATTACGTTCTTCTTTTTCAAATAATTTGCTTAATAATTTCAAAAGCAGTGAAATAACAAGGCTGCACTTAAGCTGATACTTGTGTAAGTAGAAACTGAAGGTCAGATGAGATTCAACTCTATCATCTGGGAAACCAGCACTGCACTGGTGAGATCTGGAACCAGCTTCTTCCCACAGCTTTGTCAGAGATTTCATGTGCTGGGTCACCTGCCCAGGTGGAGGCAGTCACTGACAGTCCCTGCCAATCTCTCTCCAGGTGTCCTGGGTTTAAGAAATACAAATCTGAACTCCAGCGGAAAAAGAATCCCATTCCCAAAGGGAAGGAGGATCCTCCTGCCAAGGGGGAGACAAACAAGGATCCAGAGGTCCCAGGTGGAGGCTCCTCACTTGTGGCAGAAAGCTCTGGAGCTGCTGTGGTGTCACTGGGGACTGCAGAGCCTGGACTGGTTAACCCAGCTTTTGAGGAGACTGAAGAAGGTGAGAGTTTGGCACAGAGGTGGAACTGTGTATTTACCTTTCATAATATACAAATGAGGCAGTTATCTCAGAAAATTCAGTTTTTAAGTGTCCCCAGCACTGTCAGACATCCTTAATGCTACTCAGCCATTAGTAGTTATCAGAGGCACCTCTTCCTTGAGCAGAAGGGAGATGCATTCATGTGCATCAGGGATGGCAGAGTCTGCTCACAAGCACAAAACTCTACAAAACCATTTGGAGAAAATCTGTGAGCTTACAGTGAGTATTTGCAGTATTCCATGGAGAAACAAAGGCAGTCCCTGGCAATGTGAACGTGGAGCACTTAAAGCCCTTGCAGAAGCCAGGTAATTTGTAACTAGGAAGTGTTCCAGGTTATTTTTAATCTTGTTAGGAAAGTTAAATATACAGTCAGTTTCCTGGAGTGGTCAGTACCTCCCTCCTGGTGCTTTTCTAGCACAAGTTAAGTTTTGGATTAACAGGCAGCTCTGAAAGCCTTGCAGATCAAATCACCATCTCCAGGGTAGCAGCACTTGTCTCAGCTTGGTAGGAGGCAGCAGTGGAAAGCTCAGTGCCTTGTCTCAAAGTCAGGCTCAGCTTCCAGCCCCCGTGCCTGGGACAGGTAACTCACAGGTCACTTCAGTTCCCTGTTGGCTTTTTCCCAAAGCACACCTGGAGTAGGTTTTGCATCCCTGGTGTGACACCTGCCCCTCGCCCTGCCAGGCCCTGAGTGTCCCCGTGCTGGGACATCCCACTTGCCAACAACAACTTTCATCTTCAAAGTGCAGCGTTGCTTAATCTCCAGTACGCTGTGAAACAGCCAGACATTCCTCCTCTTTTACAGGGGGGATGGGAAAAGGGGAGCAAAGGAAATTAGAGGAAGGAAGTTGCAGAGCAGTAATTACAGCTGGGTAGTCCCTTTCCCTCACTGGCATCATGGAAACTGGAATTTGTTATGTGAATGCTTCTAGTAGGCCAGCTGTCACAGGAGAAAAATAAATCTCTAAATATAGCCAAACCATGCTGACTGCCTTTTAATAAACCCCAAGCAACAACAACAAAGAGTTTGGATTCACCAAAAGCTGGGAGAGAACAGGAAAAATTCTGGAGAAACTCTAAAGAACAGAGGGGTTTAAAGCTTTTTATGCGACCTTAGGTCTCCTGATAGCTGCTTTCCCTCCAGATGATACACTGAACACAACTGCCAGGGGTTTGAATCTTGGGGTGCTGTGAAAAGGAAAATTCTGTTAGTGTTGCTTTTTCTCTTTAATTTCCACTACCAGACCTTCCTCAAAGAACCAGTCTTGTGGCTGAAACAACCACCATCGAAATCCACCGGGAAGATCCTGAGGAAGAGCTGGGGATGAGGATAGTTGGGGGTAAGGACACCCCCCTAGGGAACATCGTTGTTCAGGAAGTGCTGCGGGACTCTGTGATTGCTGCTGATGGAAGAATTGCTCCTGGAGACCACATCCTTGAGGTAGGGAAACCCCCCTGGTAGCCCCATTGCTTCCCTTGACTGGGGGAGGAGAATGCCTGGAAAAACTGGGAAATCTCTGCAGCTGAAGGTTTTAGAGCACTGATCAGACCTCTGTGTCAGCAGTGTTGTGTGTCACTTTTGGCATTCCTACCAGCCAGACTCGTATTTCTGTATATTTGACAGCTTTTTGAAATTTAGGCTGTTTTGGATAAAGTAAAGGATTCCTGACAGGTTTCACACAGCAGCCCCGTTTCTCTGCTCTAGTTAGGAAGTCTCATAATTGCTTGCTCCACTGTGTTGCTTAAGCTGCATATTCTCCATGGGCAGGTCCAGGGTGAGAGCTGCTGACTGGCAGTGAGTATCAGCTCCAAAATGTGAGTAAATGCAGAGCTCCAACCCACGGCCAGCAGGGCTGTGTGGCCCTGGGTGACCGAGGTGACACCTTGTACACACTGTGACAGTGGTTAGCACCTGCAGCCATGGCTGCCCAATCACCTGCCAAGCCATAAATCCTCATTATCCCATGGGATTGGGCACCAGGAAGGGCTGGCAGCCCCACACACAAGTGGCTGATGAGATCTCCGAGTTGATTTCTCAGGTGGACCCACAGTGACTCCTGTTTTATCCAGTTGGATTGTCCATGTCTCAGTGAATAGGGCAGGTCCCACGCTTGGGAGCCCTATCAACAACCTAAAAGACTGCACAGAATCTTGTGTGACAGCAGGCAAAGCAAATGTTGCCTTCTCAGAGTCACCCTGGTAAAAGCATAATGAGATGGATGATTCCAGAAGCTTGTAGACTGTGGACTACTCAAAAGTGGAGATCTGGGTCTTCTCCAAGCCTGTACTGAATGCTGGAAATTAAGGGAAGGCAAATCTGCATTTACTTGGCATGGAAGGAATGACTGAACATTTTTAGATTTGTTAGTTGTGTGGGTTGTCCTGTCTTGTCCTGTCCTCAGTTATTCACCAATTACAGCCTAATTCCATCATCTTTCTTCATTCTTTTTCAGCAAACTTTGCTCCCAAATGTGCATCAGAGTCAGAGACTGCACAGGGAGTTTTCCATCCTGCTCCAGCCTGGCCGTGCCCCACAGTGCGGACAGTGCCTAATTAATGTGGGCTCTGATTAGTGAGTGCTTTGTTTGTCTTTGTAGGTGAATGGCGTCAACATCAGCAGTGTGACTCACTGCCAGGCTGTCTCCTTCCTGCGCCACCCAGGCCCTGTTCTCCACCTCATGGTCCTGCAGGAGAAGGGCTTTTCCAACAAGACTGCACAGCAGGATTCCCCTTGCACACACCGGGAAGTGATCCATGTCACCTTGGTAAAGAGAGACCGGTCCGAACCCTTGGGAATCAAACTGATCAGGAAGACTGACGAGGCAGGGATTTTTATTCTGGATCTCTTAGAGGGAGGCTTGGCAGCCAAGAATGGGAAGCTGAGTCGGAATGACAGAGTCCTGTCAATAAATGGCCAGGATTTGAGGCAAGGAACTCCTGAGGCTGCTGCCCAGATAATCCAGGTGAGCTCAGACATGGAGAGGCTGTGTGGAAATGGCTGTGAGTGGCTGGTGGCAGGGCTCCTGTTCTGAGCCAGGGCTAACAGAACACACCAGGGCAAGCTGCATTCCCCCAAATCCCTCCCATGGGAAGTGACTCCCCTCTGGATGTGTGGGAAGCGCTGCTTCCGAAGGAAGATAAACACCAAGAGTGGGAATCCGTGGTGAGTCATGCCTGCCAGGTCTGAGGGGAAGCAGTGGCTCACGGCACAGGAGTTCATCCGAGGAGATTGCATCTCCAGTGTGGTGTTTGCAGCCTCCCAGCCTTGCAGAGGGAATGTTGGGATGCACAGTGTGGATTGATGGGATCAGGGCAGCCTCTTGTGCTTCCACCACGCTGAAGGTACTGCCTGGGAGATGGGATGGGCTGGCAGCACAGAGCAGATCCCTCTGAATTGAAGCCCATTTTACCTGTATTTGTGAAGAGAGACTGGAAAATGACGTGGAGCACCTCAGGCTAAAAACATTCCAAGGTACTAAATGGGTAGAAGAGGGGTGGTCTTTCCCTGTGGAATGTGCTCCTGTTGCAGCATGCCAGATGTTTTGGTGGAAGGAGTGGGCAAAGAGTTCTAGTTAAAGGATTAAAGGATTGCTGCATGTGCAGCAGAAATCACATAGATCAGTTGAAATTCTTTATCTCCCCAGGCGAGTGCCTCCAGTTTGTGTTTTTATCAACAGATCCTGACACAATGCACCTCATCCCATTCTGTTTATATCCCAGAAAGGATGTGAGGTCAGCAGGAGGGAGAGCCAGTTCCCTTCACAATTATCAGAGGAGTGCAGTGCCATGGGAGAAAGAGCAGAGTTCCAGCCCTGAGGTCCTTTTCCATCTTGTGCTTCTGTTCTACGACCTCTTAGAATTTGTTTGCATCCCACAGGTGCTGCTGCATTCCTGTTGCAGTGTGCACACACAACTCCCATATGAGGAACTTTTGATTCCATTGGAAGCAGCAACCAAAGTCTCAGAACTGGCTTCATGAGGTTTGGGGGCTGAATCTCTTTGGAAGTGACATTTGTGTAAAACTGTGGCAGTTTTTCAAACATGATCTGTTCCCTCTGAGGGCTGATTAAAATCCTTGCTTAAATGTAGCTTAAAGAGTCTCTTTTCCAAGGCCAGGGAGCTCACTCTGGCACAGAGAGGAAAGGTCCTGTGGCAAGGAGGGAGAGCAGCAATTGCATTTCTGTCATCCCAGGCAGGAAACGAGCACGTGGCCCTTTCCCCAGTGAGTCCTTCACAATAAGGTTCTGTCAGGTGATCTGAAGGAACAAACCCAAGGAGAGCAGCAGCAACAATGGGAACACTTCCCCTGCAGCCCTGCCAAGGCCAGACATGCAGCTGGTGAAGTGTTTAACCAGAGGTGCTCTGGGGAAAACATGGATGGGAGATGCTGAACAATAGATGAACAAAGCTGGGGAGGGAAAGAACTTTTAACAACTTCCCGTGCAATAAAAACTGTCATGGTCACTGTGAGTGGGGGCCAGCCAGGGTTCCAGCTCTGTTCACTCTGCAGCACAACACAAGATGCTGTGTTGGTTGTTTGTAGCCAAGTGCAGGAATTAATCATCCCTTTCCACCTTCTCTTGTTTGGCATTTGTGGGGGAGAGAGGCACGAGTGAGGCCTGCCTCTACTCCTGTTCCTTCTGACTCATGTTTGCTAATTCCCTTTTTCTTTTTCCAATCACATTCCCTGGCTTGTCACAAAAGACTTTTGCATCACACTGAGGATGTTGGAAAACCTCTGTAGGAACTGATGCCAGCCCTTCTCCCTCCCCGAGGCAATGAGGGCTGTCCCTCATTTCTAACCCATTTTTCTGTCTTTTTAATTTCCACTCCTTGTTTCTCTGGGCAGACCACGGAGTCCAGAGTGAACTTTGTGATCCTGAGGCAGCCTGGGGTGCAGCTAGGGGAGCCAGTGGAGGATGGCAGCACCTCCAACAGCAGCAGCAGCAGCAGCAGCAGCAATGGGGGGAGCCCAGTGCACCACAGGAGGCGACCAGAACAGAACCACTACAGACGAAAATCCAGCTACCAGAAGGTGAGGATGGGAGAGGAAGCCAAGGTGCTGCTTATTCCCTGTTTAATAAATGCATGGTGTTGTTCTGTGATGGTATTTTGTCACAGAAGGCTGATCAGCAGCTCCATTTCTGCTTGGGCAGGTTTGGGGCTTTTGGTACTGAAGAACCATTTTGTCATCTGTAGGGAAACATAATTTTAAGGGGAAAAGGTGACAAAATTTCTTCAGTGTTGATGCAGAGCTGGAAAAACAATCCTTTGATGTCTGGAAAGGGCAATGAGAAATTTGCCATCCATGAGATTTTTTGGGATTTGCTTCCTGACATCCATCAAACCCCACACACTGAGGGTGTTGCAGTGACACCCAGTTGAGCTGGTGTGGAGCCAGAGCCTTTGTGGTCCAGGAGAAGAATCCCCAGTGATCCCCTGGTGCTGCTGTGACTGCAGTGTGGGTCTGCCACCCCTCTGGGGGACACAGCAAATCCCCAATGTGCTGAACCCAGAGAGAAAATCTGTGTGTAGAACTTCCAGCTGAATGAAAACCTGCTGCAGCTGCTCAGGGTGGTGTGTTTGAGTGTCCCTGGAGCTCAGGGAGTTGCTGTCCTGCGTGGCTGGAGTGTGGCTCCTGCATTTAAATCCCCGAGTAGCATTTACACCCTGTTGTACAGCCTGTGCTCTAATGTGTGCCTTCACTGCAACCTAAACATTCCTTCAGCTTCATTGCTTGGCATGGGCAGCCTTGAGATGAGCTCACAGCTGGTTCCTCAGTGCAAAATTCCCCTCCTCAGAGGGAGCATCTCCCTGCAGCAAATGGATTTGGGACATCACTGATGGTTCACCTTGGAAATGCTGCTCTGTATTCCCACCCCAGCAAGGACATGGGGAGATGGCTTTGCCCTCCAGCACCACTGCTGGAATGCTCTGGATGAAGGAAACAAATGTTGTTGTCTTCCAGAGCTGGGCTTCTGTTAAATGCATTAATGAAGCTGCATTTTGTGCTGTCAATGCTTTGCAGGATTTGCCTCAGGGATATGTAAGTCATGAGAAGACAGTTGCAATAAAAAAGGAGCCAAAGGAATCTTTGGGAATCACGATTGGAGGTGGAAGGGATAACAAAAACAAGCTCCCTATCTATGTGACAAGTGTGCAGCCCATTGGATGCCTCTTCAGGGATGGCAGAATCAAGAGAGGTAAGGGAGGCTCTCAGACCCTTTATCCTTTAGGAACTGTGGGGTATTTCCAATGGAAGCTGGACTTGGACACTGAAGAGAGGCTGGAAACAGAGTTCCCATGACCCCTTGAGGCTGAAATGGGCTCCATAGCCAAAAGTCTGCAATAATCTTTTATTTCATCAACAGGGGATGTACTTCTGAGCATAAATGGCATCGATTTGACTCATCTGAACTACTATGAAGCTGTGTCAGCACTGAAATCCAATGCAGCTTCCCACTCAGTGACACTGAAAGCCTTGGAAATCCTCTCCCTGAACTCCCCAGAGCCATCCCTGGACATCAGGGAGCAAGGATTCAGCTGGTCTCCCCTCTGGATCACGTGGCTTGGATTGCCCAGGTATGTTTGTCAGGCACTGGATGGAGAGCTGTTAATTACAGGGTTGACTTTCACTCAAACACTAGAAATTAATTACTTTGTTGATGAATTTGGAAGCATTCCTGGTATTCCCATTTAGCTGAAAGGCAGTGGAAAGCCTCATTTGCCAGTGAGATCATAGAATAATGAGTACATAAGGAACTTGCACTGTTTTTCTGGAGTGCCCCATCATTCCCACACTCCTGTTGGACAGGAACCTTGCTTTAGAAGCTCTGAAACCGCCTTTTTAAAAGAGAAGTAGCCAATGTTAGATACAGTCCTTGCTGAACTACTGACTGAAATCCTCTGTGGCTCTTTCTGCATCCCCTAACACAAGCCAAGAGACACCTGGGCTGTCTGGGAGTTTCTAATCTGCCCATCTCACTTAGGGGCAGACATTCTTTCTGTCTAATTCTTGGCTGTTGTAACGGTGTCATCTTCAGCATGAAGCAGAAATGATTCTGCACAGCTGAGTTTTCCTGCTGCAAAGCTTTGCAGCACAGGCTTAGGCCAGGTTTTAATCTGGTAAATTCCCACAGAAGCTTGAATTTCCCTCTCCTTCCTGGAGAGGTGAGCCTCTGGCTCCCTCCCTTTAGCAGCTACATCAAAACACCGTGAAAGGCAGAGTTTGTTGTCAACCCAGCTGACTGCAGGAGCATCTGCAGGTGGAACATAAAGCCAAACCTGCTGTGGGAAGCCTGGATCATGTACAGCCTTGTTCCTTGAGACACCCAGAGAAGAACCACTCACAAAGCCTCTGTTGTGTTACTTAGCAGCCTGTAAATGCTCAACAAACCAGCCCAAGGAGAGGCAGCTTTTGTGTCTCCTGTACTTGGCCTGTGCTCAGCACCTCCTCCCACCTCCCTCTGCTCCCCCAGGAACTGGCCTGGCTGTTCCAGGCAGGTTTGGTGTGATCTGGCTCTGAGCTGCACCGGGAGAGCCCAAACCTGGGCACAAACCCTCAGATGCTGCCTGGTGTTTGTTCCTTCTGCTGCTGCTGCAGGGAACTACAGCAAGGCAAAACCTGGCTGGGCTTCTTTTCTTCCTTTCCCAATTTTTCTGGCTGTCAGGTGACTTGCAGCTTCCCCACACTCTGCTGCAGGGACTGGAGTCTTCTGTACTCCTGTATCTCCTGCCCTCATTTCAGGATGTCCTGACATTGCCTCCATTTAATGCATTGCTGGAAATTCCTTTGCTGCTGGTATTGATGTTCCCCCTTCATTTGGACTCCTGAAGCAAGAAGTGATTCCTGCTCTTCACTTCCTTTTACTCCAGCCTGAATTCTGGCCGTGGAATGTGTCTGCAGTTCTGGCTGTGGGGGTTGGTAAGAGGCACACAGCAAGGTTATTCCACTTTGGGATCTGACAGGATCTTCCTCCCCTTTCCTGCACTAAGAAGGGCTGTAATTTCTGTGCTTCCTCACTCCTTTTCCCATCTGCTCCCAGTGGGACCTGGCTGGTCACGCACAGGACCCGTGTTTGTCACCAGGGCATGTTCAGGGTGCCTCTGGCCCTTCAGGCTGGCTCTGGGAGGTGCAGCTGCAGTGATCCCTGTTCCCTCACCTGCTGGGGTGTGGTTCCCATCCAGAGCTCCTGACCCACCCAAACTGGGTTTCCTTCACACTCAACCAAAGCCCCAGTGCTGCATTGGAATGGCCATTGCACTGTGGCCCTGACAGACCCCGTGTGCACCTCACTGACACACAAAACCCCCCAAAATGTGCCCAAACTGGTCCCAGCACCAGCTGTTCCACTGGGATCGGCTCCTTTTGGCTGCCCTGGTCTCACTGTGCTGGAATGTTCTGCAAGCTGAAAGCTCAAAGCTAATTGCATGTGCCATCTGGGGTTTGTTCAGCTTTTTTCCCCTCAGCTATTGCTCTGCTCCAGCAGAAATACCCCTTTCTTTTTAGAGGAATGTGTTTCTTTCTAGTTTGATCCCAGACCTGATGCTGAAAGGTGTGAGCTGAAACGAGTGCTCAGGGTTAGGGAAATGTCTTTGATCTTTGCAACACTTGAGCCCACAGAGCTCCATTCAGGTCTCCATTCTTATATCTGTGATTTCTGTTTCTGTCAAACAGAAACTTTGACCTCTTCCTAGCGTTACGTTAAATCCACACCAGCCACTGTTGGTATAAAATACCATCTCAAAAGCTGGTTTGGACTGGATGTTCTAATCCAACACACCCTGAATCCCAAAGGTACCAGAAACAAAAGTTTACAGATTGATTTTTCTCTCTGAAACCTTTGTCTCTTGAAAACACATTGCACTTGTGGAGAAGTCCTGGGGGTGGAAAAGCAGTTTTCTTCCCTGGGATTTATCTGGCTCCAGTGTGACTCTTCCCACAAGAACTGTGTGGAGCTCCCAGTCCCGGCCCTGCTGCAGCTCCAAACTCCAACAGGGAGCAGGAACTGCCAGCTCAGCAGCGTGCTTGGCACCATAAACCCTGCGCCTCGACCTTCCCTAAACTCCCAAATTCTTTTCCCACAGTCATTTTTGATGCTAGTAAATTAAAGTTTCTCTTCCTTGAACCATTTTTTAATATGGAAAACGGATTCCTAGCAAACAGCCCTTCCCAGCTCCAGGAGAAGGTGCCTGATGTTTTTATTTATGTTCTGTGCTGACCTAGCCCTTGCCACTTTTGCTCTTGGGGCTGTTTATTCACTGGAGCTGCCACAGCCATGGCTCAGAGCTGTGTTTTTGTACCTGTGGAAGGAAACCGTGGAGGAATCAGTAAGCTCGAGCTGGGGCTCTTGGTGTTTATGTGTGAAAAACTGCTGCAAAAGTAAATTACAGGTTGAAAGTAGATAATTGGATTTTTCTCCTGGTGAGAAGTTAACTGGGAAGGCTTTTGAAATCTGAAACTCCTCAGCAAAAACTGCTCAAGCAAAGCCCTTGAGGCAAAAACGTTTATTAGGAAAAGTTTAGCTGCTGGAATAGCTCAGTGGGGTGATGATGATGAGCAGAAGTTTCACAGCTCCGCCGTGCCAGGATGAAACCTGAGCTGGAGCCGGGACACACAGACGGTCCTGTGTCACCTCCTGTGTCACCTCCTGTGTCACCTGGCCATGGCTTGGTGGGGTCTGTGCTGCTGGCACTTCCATCTCACGTTCCCCAGGCTCCCTGAGGAGACAAACCTCGCTGGCCACCATCCAGAACCAGGGAGCTCTCAAGCAAGGAGCCCACGAGTGGAACTGGACATCCTGGATCCTGCAGGAAAACCCTTCCCTGCTCTCATCTGGCAGCTGCTGCAGCTCACATTTGAAAACCTTCCTTGCACCGAGGGGATAAAAACTCTCTTATTAATTGCATGGGTGTGGCTGCTGCTCGCCGTTAATTTGGGTTTGCCACTGGCTGTTCATTAGCAGAATTCACAAAGTTATTCGGGAGTCTTGCAGGTCCCAAACCCCTTTAGAGCCGGGTAATTCCCTCTCAGCTCTTAAAGCAACACTGAGGAAAGATTTCTAAAGGTCTGGCATCATCCCATTTGGGAATTAACCCTCTGACATGCCTTGCAAAGGGGTGTTTCAAATCCTAAAAAACAGGAAAATGAGGCTGTGCTTTCCATGAGGGAAAACATAAATTCCTGGTCAGGCAATTTTCCTCACAATTTCTCTGTTTTTGACACAGCTACCTTCACTTCTGTCAAGATATCGTCCTTAGTAAAGGAAACCTGGAGAGTTGGGGTTTCAGCATCGTGGGAGGCTTTGAGGAAAGCAAAGGAAACCAACCCTTCTTCATCAAAACCATCGTGCCCGGGACTCCGGCATTCCGGGACAGGAAACTCAAGTAGGTGTGAGGTTCCTGGGGAATCACCACCACCACCAGGGCTGGGGGCGCTTCCCAGACTCTGACCCTTGGAAGGAGCTCAGCTCCCGGTTAATGACTCGCTCATCATCTCCTTCGAGAGTTAATACTGTTACCAAACTTGTAACAAACTAAGCCCTGCGTTAAGCACCGCTTTGGTTTCTCCACAAAGGCGCAATGAAAAGGAATTTACAGCCCTTTAAAACCTAACTGCGAAGGGTTTAATTGAGTAATTAGGTGAAAGTAGAAAGAGGATGTTTGAGATCAGTCTTGGAGGTTCCAGAGTATAAAACCTCTTGGATTAGAAGTATCCCAGCACAGGTAACAAGAGGCCCTCCTGAGCAGGAGCTGCTGGGGACGGATCCCAGTGAGAGGAGCAGGGTGGGGCTGCAGGAGCCCACAGACATCTCTGGGGCAGGAGGGGCTGCCAGGGACACAGAGGGGACACAGCCAGGGACAGGGTCGGGGCTTGGCTCCGAGCTGGGAGCAGCGGGCTCAGCTGGGCTCTGTTGGAGTCCTGGGGCAGCGCTGGGGGGGCTCAGCCCCTCACACCCCCCAGGAGGGGCTGGGTTGTGTCACTCTCACACCTCTGATGATGCCAGTGGGGCCACTGGAGCTGCAGGACTGACCACGGCCAGCAGTGTTTCAGCAGCACAACTCCTGCCCTGCTGCCTGCCCCTCACTGCTGGCACCCCAGCAGCAGCAGGTTCTCATCGTTCCCCTCCCCTCTGTCCCAAGCTCTTTGGAGGAGGAGTTGATTTGGCTGAGGGTGATGGTGGGTGCAGGGTTAATACTGAGCCCAGTCCTGACTGGATTCTGTCTCTGGGCAGGTGTGGAGATGAAATCGTGGCAGTGAACGGAGTGCCAGCAATAGGAATGAGCAACTCGGAATTAATCCCAATGCTGAAGGAGCAGAGGAACAAAGTGACCCTGACTGTGGTGTCCTGGCCAGGGAGCCTCGTGTGACAGCTCCACCAAAGCCCCAACACTTCCAGGTATCCAACAGCAGCTAGACACCACCCAGGCCACAGCTGGGAGGGAAAAAGGGACTGCTCCACTCCTGCTCCCAGTGCATTGCCACGGAAGACTCCTCGCTTCCTTTTCATGGAAAACATTTTACCAACAAACCTGGATGTCAAATTCAAAGTAAGGGTTAATCCCACAGTTGTTGGAGCTTCCCAGGCTCATTACAGCTCCTTAGGCCTGGTGGTGCACAGAAAACTCTTCCCAGTGTTTCTCCACGACCTGCCCTGGAGGCTGCTGAGGCTTGCCTTGATTTTCGGGCTCTGCTTTCCACGGAGTATTTGAACAGGTTAAAACAGAGGCTTTTAGAAGCAGCTACTAAATCTGTAAGGATGGGGACCCAATTTAGGCACTTGTACCCATCAGGATTTCCCAGTCCTCATTTTTAGGTGTCAGTAACCCCAGGAATGTGTTAATACAATAAAACTCGGAGCTGCTGGGCCAGTTCCCTGTATGAGGGTCCTGTCACAAATCCTAATGCAGGATCCTGCCAACTCCACTGATTTATTGCAAAGGGACAATTTCAACAGCTTAAAGAACCACTCTCAAAGGTATCAGAAACAGGAGTTTCATTGAAATATGTTGCAAAATGTGACTTTACCAAAGGTCAAGGGCAAGGTTCACTTATTGCACACAAGTTTCCCTGGTTTTAGGATTGATAAAGCAGCTTTTTCCCCAGAAGGAAGGTGAGGAGGGGAATGGGCTGGCCCAGCCTGATGCCCATTTTATTTTTGTTTCCAGTGATGAGGGGCAGAGTTCAGGCAGGAGCAGGAGGGCACCTGTCAGATTTCTCCCACAGTTCTGTTCACGTCCCTCTTGCAGCTGGAGCAAAATATCAACTCATGGGATCAGGGGAAGCTCAAAGGATCCTTGGCTGCAGGAAAAGTCACCTCCAGAAAGAGACTGTGCTCAGCCCGCCTTCAGTTCAAACCCACTGTGCAGTTAAAATTCACAACTGAAGAACTGAAGCCCAGGCAGGGTGGTTTGACCTCTGACACTGTGAAAGTTCCTACTTGCAAACTCCACCTGAAGCAATTCCCTTTTTTTAGCAGCTTAATGAGCAGTAGAAATGATGGGTTTTTCTCAAAGCAGGTTTCACTGAGAGATCTTTCCTCCTGTGCTGCCTCTGCTGCACCTTTTGCAGGACCAGCTTTTTAAGAATCCAGGGAGCCTGCTCCTTGTCCAAATGCTGCCTGGAATGAATGTTTAATTCCTTGGAGCAGCCCTGCAGGAAGGAGCCCAGCCTCAGCTGAAGCTTCTCCTGGGCTGGCAGTTTGTCATTTGCTGTCCCTGGGCCTTGTTTACACACAGTGACTTCACCTCCTGCGCTGGGAGCTGCGGGCAGGGACAGCAGGGCCTGTCCCAGAGCCCAGGACACAGCAGGAACCTCGGATCATCCTCACAGCAGCCCTGGCTGGGCTGAGCAGAACCTCTGGGGACTCTGACAGAACCTCTGGGGCTACCTGGGCTCCAGGGCTGCTCTCCTGTTGTTCTACTGAATGCTGAGAGCAAAATAATCCACTGAGGAAAACTCATCATTGACCTCGCTGGGACACAAAAACGTGAAGCAATTTTTTATCTCTTTCCAATCAATGTGCAGAATCTGTGCCTGGAACAGTAAATATTGATGTGGACAGAGAGAGGGTGATTCCCACTGCCTGCCCCAAAGGTGGGGAAAGGGCAGGAGGGAAGAGCTGTGCAGCTGCTGGGCTGGCAGTGGAGGGAGGAGGAGGAGGAGGAGGCTGCAGAACCATTTTTACTCCATCTCCTTTCAAGGTGCCTTCAACTTCACCAAAATGTCCTCATAATTTAAATTTTGTTTCCAAAATCAGCTCGTTGTTAATAGATGTTGAATTTGTTTTGATGCCTTTATAAATTATTGTAATATTGCTGAAAAATATGCATTAGAGGTGTGGTCTTTCCTTTTCTTTCCATGGAGCAGCTAATCCCCAGAACAGGTTACCTCAGCAAGATTGCCTCCTCTGTGGCAGGAAATGGTGGAACTCTCTTTGCTTCTCCCAGGGAAGGAGCTGGACTATCCTGAAATACACTGTGGCTTGGAAAAATCCCTCAGCAGCAGTAAACCTCACATCCCAACACCAGGAAACCTGCAGCAGCTTCCTGATGAAAGTACAGATTATTTCCAGCACCCCACCTTCACATTTCCCTGATAGTAAAGAAACAATTTACCTCCCTTTAATGAAAAGAAGCCAATTTAAAACTATTTACCTTAAATCCACAGCTGCTCCTGGCCCCAAAAGCCTGTGCCCATTAGAGAATGGGGGTCCCCTCCACCTCAGCATATTCTGTCACTTGGGTCCAGCTTATTCAAATGACACAGGAGGAGGTGCAGCTCTGAGTGAATCCATGCTGGATTCCCTTTTCCCACTCCCACAGCACCCCCAGGGCTGGAGGGGTGTGATCACCATTAATTGTGTCCCTCCAACAGTGCAGGAGGTCAGGGAGTGGATGTGGAACAGCGCTGGCCACCCCTGGAGAGGCACCAGGGACACCTGAGCATGCAAAGGTGGCAGAAATGTCCTTGGCTGGGGCCAACCCCCCTCACCTGGCTGCACCATTCCAGTGGCAGCACGGATCTGATCCGGGGGGCTGGGGGCACTGCCTGCCCCAGCAAGGCCAGAGGGGCTGTGCTGGGAGAAGCCAGCAGGGCCCAGCAGCAGCAAATGCAGGCTCTGAGGGCCTGGGCAGGGGTCTGGGCCCCTCTCCCCCCTGGCACTGCCCTGGCCAGGCCTGGGCTCTGGAGGGACGGGGGCACTGCTGTCAGGGCTGCTGCAGGAGCTCAGACCAAGCACTCCTGATCCCTCCTCACCACTCTGGTCTGGATTTCTCCTGGGAGCAGCAAGTTCACCCCACTCTCCTAAAAGCTTTTGGGCACTCCCAGCTGAAGCCCTGCCCTGAGCAGGAGCTGCCAGGAGGATTCCCTTGCTCCTTGCACACCCAGTGCCAGGAGCTGGGATTGCTGCAGCCTGCAGAGCTGCCCAGGGAGCGCTGAGTGATATTCCCAAATCTGGGCTCCCCTGTGCCTGCAGAGGCAGGAACACCCTGCAGCCTGATCCCAGCTAATGCTGGCTCAGTGCACACACATTTCCCAGGAGCTCAAGCACATTAAAAAAACTCCATGAAAACCAAAACCCAGCAGAAGTCCCAATTCTCCCCTGGGCTCTGCAGTTACAAACCCATCACTGCGCTGTCACAATGTTGAACCCGAACCCAAGGGCTCTCCTGGCACAGGTTGGACACTTCCCAGCACATTCAAGACTTCCAAGATTACAATACCAAAAAATACAGAACATTTCAGAACCGTATTATTTTAGGACAAATATTTCAGACAGTTTTAAATAACAAGTCAAAGGAAAATGAGACATTTGTGGAGTCACATGAACAGAAGGGCAGATCCTAAGGACCAGACAGACCCAAACCCCTCAAAATTATTTCCCCTGTTCTTCCCACCCAGAAACATCTCTGTTGCCCTTTCCCCAACCAATACTAAGTCCAAAGAAACTTTGGAATTTGACTAAATTTATTTTGGAATCTAAGGGAAAGGAATGCATTGGACAGGAGTGTTGGTGATACCCAAATAGAAATGCCAACCCCATGAGGGCAAACTGCTATAACTGGGACTTGGTGTTCTCTACTGCACTCTAGGTTATTCAGTCAACTCTTAGTAAAAAAAGGAAATAAAATAGTTAAGTCAAAAGGAATTAAAGAGAAATTCATGCTCTTGCTATGGATCTTCATTGATTCCCCACGTAGAGGTGCCAGGTGACAGAACTACCTTTGCAATGGATAAAAAAAGCCAGTTTTGGAGTCTCTGCACACGCTGTGTGAACGCCCTCAGCAGCTTCTGGAAGCTGTCACATCCAGGCAGGCCCCTGTGCCCACCTGGAGCAGATCCTGCAGCTCCTCCTGACACGCCCAGCTGGCCACGGAGAAATCAGAAGCTGTTTTTGTAGCTAGAAAGAAATTTATTCGGGGATGAGACTTTTCACTACTGGATGCCAGACTCTAAGCTGGCTGCCGGGATCTAAGCCACACTGTTCTTTGGACAATAAATTTCAAGTTGCACTTACTGTCCTAGTTCTCAAAAAGGAATGATGATGACAAAAAGAACCAAGAACTACGACCTAATTGCGTTAGTTTCAGCTGAAGCCATCTTCCATCAGAAACCATAGGATCTGATACACCAAAGTTCTCCCTAGGGATGTGGATGAGTAGCTCAGTGCTTTGTAACTAGTACTGCTGTATTGTCTTGTATCAAAAACAAACAAAAAAAGGAAGTTTAAGGGCACGTGCAGCCTCAGCTCCGGAAGCGCTGCCGGCTGTGCCACGGCTCACCCAGTCAGCCTCTTCCCTTGGAAAAAAGTAAAAAATAATAATAAAAAAAAATCACCCCCCAAGCAAAATATCACCAAAGCCATGCTGGTTCCACGGGAGTGAGTTCCTGCCGAGGGCTGATGGGGGCCTGCCTCACTCCTTGGTGTCCTGCTCCTCGCCCTCCTGGGCTCCGTCCTCGCTGGTCTCCTTCTCCTCCTTGCTCCGCTTGTTCTTTTTGTGCTTGTGGCGCCGGTGGCTCTCCCCCTCCTCGCTCTCGTGCTGCTTCCTGAGCGGGGACAGAGGGGACAAAGTCACATCAGACACAGCCCTGCCACAGCAGGGACTCGCTGATGGCCACTGGGGGCTACATCCCACCAACAGGAGCCACCTCAGCAGCACCGAGGGCATGGCGGGGATTTCTGGGATGCATCAGCACAGCCACATTGTCACTGTCACACACTGCCACTGTCACACTGCCACTGTCACAGTCACACTGTCACTGTCACACACTGCCACTGTCACACTGTCACACACTGCCACTGTCACAGTCACACTGTCACTGTCAAACACTGCCACTGTCACAGTCACACTGTCACTGTCACACACTGTCACTGTCACACACTGCCACTGTCACAGTCACACTGTCACTGTCACTGCCACTGCCACACATTGTCACTGTCACACACTGCCACTGCCTCACACTGTCACTGTCACACACTGCCACTGCCACACTGCCACTGTCACAGTCACACTGTCACTGTCACACTGCACAGCCACTCCTGGCAGTGTCCACAGGCAACACCTCGGTGTTCTTGCACTCCCGAGTGAGCTCCAGCGATTCTGACACGGCGCCGAGGCTGAGAGAGGAGGAGGAGTCCGTGTTTGAAACTTTCACTCCTCTGAACATCCTGGGGAAATCCCTGGACTGAAGGCAGCAAAGGGATCAGTGGAGTGAGAGAAATGTGGGTTTCCCCATGAGAACAGATCCTGTTTCTACTTCTGCTGACTCACACCTGACCTGGCTCTTCACTGCCTTCGTGCTTTAGAACTCCTTTATCTCCCCCAGTTTTCCAGATGTGGGTGGAGAACTGGGGATGTTTACCCAGGATTTCTGTGATGTGGGAGCAATCCCAGGCACAAGAGGCCTGAGCAGGCTGTGCATGCCCTGAGCCTGTGCCCTGCCAGCTGCTCCATGCAGCCAAACAGCCCCAGGAGCTACTCTTCCCCTCACCAGGAAAAGAGGGGAGCTCTGGTTTGGCCCCTCCTGGGAGGAGGTTTTCTGCTGCTTCTCTCACAGGTTCAAACCAAGAGAGTTCTCAGGAGCTGACTGTGGTGTGAAGGTGGCAGAATTCAGAGTACAGGAACAAGCAGATAAATCTATCCCAGGATAAACTGTGACTGTACAGGCTGTGCTCCATGAGCAGGGACAGCATCAGGTGTACAGACCAACTCTTAGAACAGCTGGAATTCCAGTTTAGCAGCAGACACAGAACTGGATGAACCTGGCTGAAAACTTCCTGGCTTCAAGTAATTTTCTGACTGGTTTAATAAATGGTTTCACAGTCATTAAAGGCAAGAAAAAAAATAGAGAAAAATAAAAGGCTGCTGCTTCTCCACAAAACACCTTCAGCCACCTCGTGGCCGATGTGTCAGTGGTTTATGCTGGGACAATGTGACTGTCCTTTAATACTGAAACCAGCGTCAGTGATTTCCTGCAGACTGCTCAGTTTGCAGGAAGCTGGAAATGAAACCCTTTCATCTGCAGATGCCTCAAACCTCAGTGTGCCTCAAGCAGGGAACCCCAGAAAGGTTTGGGTTGGAGAGGACCACAGGCCAGCATTCCTGCAGTGAGGTATCTACTCCAGAGTTTCAATTCTGAGTAGAGGAAGCTGAGAAATAACCCTAAAGCAAATGATTTGTTTGTCTGATACCAGCTCAGCTTCCAGTTGCTCTGTATTCAGTTTTTATTATGGTCTTAGTCTTTCTTGCTATCACTTTGCTTCCAACCCTTCAGTAACCAGTCCTTCCTTGAAAACTTACTCGTCTCCTTAAGAATAAAACAGCTTCTTTCCTCCAGTCACTACAAAGGAGTTTTTCTGATACCAGTTTCAAAATAAGGGTCATTACCTACAGAGCTGACAGGAATTTCACCTGAAAGAAGGGAGTTGAAGCATCAAGAAAAAAGAGCAAGAGCAAGTCATTAATGGGATGTGAAGTGACACAGGACCTGAGCACAGCACCTCCCTCAGCCCAGAGAGCAGAGCTGCTGCTCTGCTGGGGACTGCTGGAGGATCATCTGTTGTACATCCATTTTCTGCAGAAAAGTTGTGATTTCAGAACAGGCTGCTCTGCCCCAGAAGTTTCAGCTTTGTGCAGACCATCACCTCACCATCAGACTCTGGGCAAGAGCTCTGCTCCTCCTGCTCCAGAGGCAATTTCTGAGTGCAGGCAGAAGGAAGTTCTTCACAGAAAGACTGATTGGAATGGGCTGCCCAGGGAGGTGATGGAGTCACTGTCCCTGGCCATGTTTAAGGAAAGGCTGGATGTGACACTCAGTGCCATGGCTGGGGTGACAAGGTGCTGCTGGGTCACAGGCTGGACTCGATCTCAGAGGTCTTTTCCAACTGAATGGACTCTGTGAGCTCTGCCCAGCACAGGAGCAGCAGGACCAAAAGCTGATGCTTCTGTCATGGCCTTGCACCTCCTCTGTGTGTGATTTTGTTAAGATGGGAGCTCTGCTGGGAGGCTGAGCCCAGCTCAACCCCTCTTTCACCCACTGAGCTGGGACTCAACCCTGAGGTCTCCTTTCCCTGTCCCAGAGAGTCCCTCCCGCCCAAGGCTCTCGGGCGGAGGGATGAGCCGGGCTGACATTCCAGCCCCAGAACACGGAGTTCCTGCCCAGCCCTCACTGACCTGCGGGAGGATTTGTGTTTGCTGCCGTCGTCCTTGTCGCGGTGGCGGCGCTCGCGGTGCCGCTCCTCGCGCTCGCGGCTGCGGTCGCGGCTGCGCCGGTAATCGCGCTCGAAGTCGTAGCTGCGCTCGCGGCTGTAGTAGCGGTACCGCTCGTCGTCACTGCGGGGACAACACAGGGACATGTGGGCACAGGGACACGGCCCCCTGGGCCTGAGCCACTGGGCAGGGCTGCAGCTGTCACCAGCTGTCACCAGCAGCGTCTGACAGAGCTGGGGTGCTGCTGAAACGCCTGCAACAGGAACTCGGCGCACTCACGCTCCCCTCGCCGCTGGCTGGGCTTCCCTCAGCACAGACACCCCAGACATCCTCTCATCCTTTTGTGTTTTCTTCCCCACAAGCTCAAAGCCTCCAGCTGTGAGCACAGCTTTCTGTCTGCACCTCTCCACCTGTTCGCCAGGAGTGGGCAGGGTGTACCCCCAACTGAGACACAACCCTCTACACCTCGGGTCAACTTCTGAAAGCCAAAATCCAAAGGGTTAACAAGTGCCTCTGTGGGAACAATACCCAGACTTGGGAGAAACGACGTCAGAGACATTGTCCTGACACTCCTGGAAACGAGCTGGACAAATAAATGTCCAGGATCAATCAGCTGGGAGTGCTCTCAAGGAGTGCACGGCCACTTGCCCTGCTTTGACCTGCACCAGGGAGCTCCAGAAATGCCAGCAATGTGCTCAGGAGTGCTGATCCCAGGCCTTGGCTCCAGCACGGACCAGAAAGTGGGGGAGTCTGAGCTCTTCCAATTTTAGCAAGTTTGTCTTCTGTTCTCTTCCCCTCCTCCCATCCACAGTGCCCAAAAGCTTATAAAGGAAAAAAAAAAATGTATTAGGAGCACGCTGCCCTGTTTGCTTGCTCCCTGGGCTGGGAAGCTCCCAGGCAGGAAGTGCCCTGTGCCAGGAATGCACATTCTGATCATGTTTTGAATGATTATTGGCATTTCTGAGCCTGGAGCCTGCAAAACACCGACGCTGACTGAACACCAAAGGGATGGGTTTGGGAAGTCTCTGCAGCCCAGCCTCCACCTCAGATCAGCACAGGGAGGCTCCAAGCCTCCTGGCCTTTCCCCAAGTGCTCCCGGCACTGCTGTCAGCCGAGGCCACAGCAGCTCCCACCAAGGTGGTCTCTCCAGTCCTGCTCCCATTTCCTGGCTGACTCCCAGGGAATGGCGCTCCCAGCCCCCCAGGAGAGCGGAGCAGAGCAGGCTGCTTGTCCTTTGATCTGACAGTGACATTTAGAAGACAAGAAGCAGCAGCTCCTGCAGCCAGTGCTTCACACTGAGCTGTGAAACACTGAGTAAACACAGAGGGGCTATTTCATTGACTGGCCTCGTGGGAGAGCAAGAGGAACTGGTTCTGCTGGATTTAAACAAAAAACTCCAGACCCAGAGACAGGAAATCAGCCAGTGACACAGCTCTGTGCTGTACTTATTGATCCAAAGGAGCTCTTCCCCAGACATTCCAGAGAATTCAGCTGGTGTCCCCTACAACCCAAGCCTTGGCCAGACACCCTGAGGTGTCCCAGGGCTGCCCAGGGAGCAGGAGGAGGGCAGCACTCACTTGTTGTATTCACTGGTGGTCGGGGTGCGGTCGCGGTCTCGGTCTCGCTCCCTCTCCCGTTCACGCTCACGCTCGCGCTCCCTCTCCCGCCTGGAGCCCGAGTATTCCCAGTGGCTGCTGCTGGAGCTGCTTGTGCCCTTGTCCACCGTGGTCACCCAGGGCGTGTGGGACGTGGAGATGGGGGGGTAGCTGATGAAACCTGAATCTGCAGCCAGAGAGCAGAACTCTCCATCATCCAGAGCATGCCAGCATCCCCTCTGTCCCTCCCTTTCCAAAGGTCCCCTCTGGCAGCAGAGCTGGATCCAAGGACACAATGACACAGCTCCCTGCTGTCACTTCCAGCACTTTGCTAAGAAGAGGGAGCTCCTTCTCCCTGAGGAAAGCACAAGAGCAGGAATTCACAGGCAGCACTGCACTGTCAAACCTGGGCTCTTGGTCACCTGTCCAAGGTCCCACCTCCCACCAGCGACCTTCTGGTCTAGGGTGGCACCTGGGGAGGGCCAGGGGCACCAGCTGCCAGTGAAGGATGTCACCTGGGGAGCCCAAAGCCACCAGCATTTCCCAGGCAGAGGTGGCCAGCTGGGCCAGTGAGACCGTATCCCAAAGCAGTGCCACATCTGGCAGCACTGGAGGCTCCTCTCCTTGGGAAAGGCTGGCACTGCCACTCCTCCAACCCTGCCCTGCAGGGCTGTCTGTGCTTCCACTGCTCAGCACAGCCAGGAGGAGCCACTCCTGGTCACTGCAGGACTGGGAGAGAACTGGGGCTGCACCAGGGAAGGGAACCGGCTGAAATCCTGGCACTGCCCCTCCCCGTTACAAAACCACCAGAGATGGTGCCTGTAGGCAAGGGAGAGGGTGAAGTGGGGGAGGAGGGATTCAAAAGCTCAGGGAGGAGATGCCAAGCTCAGTAGCTGTGGATGGTTGTGCTGATCCCTGAGGGTGGGGAAAAGGGATAGAGTGTGAGGGTGAGCACGTGCAAACAGGCATCAGAACACACTGCTGAGGCACTGGGGAAGCTGCTCTGTGCTGGGGATCTGCCCTGGAACAGCGACCTGAGCCTCAGTGCTCGGCCACCAAACTGCATCAGCACACCTGCACAGCACTCAGGGCAGCAAACCCAGCGTGTGCTCCTGACTGGGATGGTCTGGGACACAGCAAGACCCTGGAGCTGGAGCAGACACGATGTGTGTCAGCCTCAGGAGAGCCTGGGCTGCCAAGAACCAGGGAAGAGAGGGAGCAGCAGTTGGATGTGTCCTGCCCGGTGCTCACCTGCAGAGTTGTAGCCAAAGGGAGGTGGCTGCCTGTTGTTGTAGCTGGCTGGCTGCCTTTGGGAGAGAAAAGGGGGTGAGTTACTGACATCAGGGACCCCCACAGCTCTGGCTGTGCTGCAGCTTCACCCTGTTTTTCCTGCAGGTCTGTGGAGCATTACTATGGGAATCCCCCAACCAGAAATGCTCACAGGTTTTGCCACAGCTCCCAAAGCTGCCATAGCCCTGCTGCTTGCCCTGGGAAAGCACCACTGCTCACAAACTGCCTGGAGCACCTTCAGAGAAAGCACTGCACTAACAAATCATGCCATCAGCTACTCTAGGCTTTATCTAGATCTTACTGGCTCCTTCCTGTGCCTTGAATATGACAGACCCAGGTGAATGCACAGAGGATCCCTGACAGACTCTGCTCTCAACCCCCAACCCCAGACCAGACCACGCATCCCCAGCACTGATTGTGGATCTGTTCTCCTCCCTTCCTCCCTCCAGGGGAGCTGCTCCCACGGTGGGATCTTACCCAGGTGTGGTCTTACCCATCCAAGGTTGGGATGAGGAGAGCTGGTGGTGGTGCCAGAGGTGGTGGGAACAACCCTAGACACACAAGGGTAAATCAGCACCAAGATGCTGCAGCTTCACAAGTGCTGTTCACAGTTAAAAAACATTAAAGCATCTTTTTACTCTAAACAAGGCCCTGTTTAAAACAGAATCATTTTCCTTCAGGGTAGGATCTCCTCCCCAAATTCACACCCTAAAGCTCTGTTAGTTTTGTAGGGATATGGGAAGAAAAACAAAGCAAAAACCACCTTCTATTTTGGCTTACAGATACTGAACATGAGATTCATCAAGGAGTAACAACTCTTACAGCCTTATGGAGGAAAAGTGGTTCTTGGGATGAGACACATTGCATTCTGATCAGAATATAACAATCATGTGATTCTGACCTACAGATTTATGTCAGAATAGGAGATAAGCAGCTCAGGTTCAATGCTCAGTTGGAGCTTATTAATCTTAAATTAACTGTGCACTAAACTGGTGCCTTCCTACTTCATGTCACTTTGTCCAAATGCTCTGAACCTGATCAAAATTGCTACTGTTATTAAGACCAAGGTAAAACCTACCTGGAATTGGACCTGGAGGTGGCAGGCCTGTGGAAATAAGCAGGGAAAACAAGTGAGGACAACAGGGAAAGCATGGCCTCTCTGTACTTCACAGACTCTCTGTACCTCAAGCTAAACCTCAAAGCACAATTTTGAATAAATCTCACATACTGGAGCAAACAGAGCAGCAGAAAAATTGGTGCTACAAACTGGGAATTAACCTATAAATTATATCATTTTCCCCAGTGATGATCTCTTTACCTTTATGATTTAAAATGCTGCTGTTCTCTTACACTGGGGAACTCCTTTTCTGAGTGTGAACACACAAACAATTGATTTGGTCTTCAGAACAACTGAAGGAGGAGCTGGAGAGGAAAACCTGCTGCAGGTTCCACTCCAGTGTGTCCATCTCGATTTTGCCAAGCATTTTAATCTAAAGCAGTAGGAAAAGCCACCATGGAAAAGTTACTGGGGAAAAGAACCTGTGAGTGCTGCAGCAAATCCTCCTCAGGCAGGAGTCTCTGCATGAGGTGCTCCTGGTGCCTTCTCCAGAGCTTGGCTGCTGCTCCAGGACCAGGAGAAGCCCAGAGTGTGGCCCCCTCAATTTTCTGGTGTATTTAAGCCAGAAGCAACAGTTCTCAGCTTCCTCCAGAGAAACAGGAAACTGCTTCTTGACATTTATCAATAAAACAAATGGATCAGTAGCACTGGAAGGCTCCCTCAGGGAAACAAAGCCCAGAGGGTTTTTTTCAAGGAGCAGTTGCCATTTTTAAGCATTCAGGGCAAATATTAAATAGGCTGATGGAGATTAAACAAAGCCTGGCTTTGGGTAAGGATCTGTTCCCTGAATGCTCACCCATCCTATGGCACTGAACCATTAAACCTTTGATTTGCTCCAAGCCTGGGACGTGCCAGCTCAGTTCCACGGAGTGAATACGTACCTGGAGGATGCAGGGGAGGTGGAACAGAAGTCACTGGAGGAGGAGGGTGCAGGAAATGCGGAGGAGGAGGACCGGCGAGCGGGGGAGGTGGAGGCCCTGCTGGTGGAGCGAACGGCTGCTGCTGAGGAGGCTGCTGGGGCTGCGAGGGCTGCTGGGGCTGCTGGGGGGGCTGGGGCTTGCTGCCGTGGTCTCCCAGGACCTTAGGGGGCACAGGAATGAGAAGAGAGAGTTTTAATTGCTTTGCTCCTGCAGCAGGGCCCTCACAGTGCTGGCAGCATCACCACAGCAGGACTGAGGCCATGCCTGAAGAGTGAGCAAAATGCAGAGGCACCACAGTGACCTGAAGTGCAGCTGGCAGTGCTTGAGAGGAACAACAAACAACCCTTCCCCAGTAAATTCTGTCTCTTAGGTAAACTCTTCTTGGCAAAATCTGGAAAACTGACTATTAAAAGAATAAATGCACCACACAACCATGGAGAAAAACCCAAGGAATTGGGCCTAGAAAGGGTCCATGTTTAGGTTTTTCTGGCAAGTTAGCAGTGTTGGCAGGAGGGAGGTGGTTAAGAGAAAGGGGTTTGGCAGATGGTCCTCAGACCCTGCAGCTTCCTGCCTGGGAACCAACCAGAACATTATGGCCACACACTGGGCAGGCAAGCCCAGAACTGAGACCAGCCTTAAACCCAGGCTTTTGTTTCTGAGGTGTGGGCTGCATCAACTGTTTCGAGACTAAATGTTACTTTAAAGGACAGAGAAACACCAGCCCCAGGTACAAACCCTTCACTGGAGATTTGAAGATTCCAACCCCACAGTGGAAGGGATTAATACACAGCAGAGATTCCCAGCTACATGCTCCTAGGAATACTTTGGGAGAGCTGATGATGAAAGAACTCAGGCCTTACCATTCAAAGGCAAGACTGGTCTTTAAATAACAAACCTGGCTCTTAGCAAGACCAAGTTTTTAACCCAGAAATTACCTGAACCTGCAGAAGGGAATGATCCAGGCACACACCTCAACAGGGTCAATACATTACCTGCTGCTCTGCAGGTACTGGGACACAGGAGGTCAGGAACACACAGACATTTGCCCAGGGTTCACCAGAAGTGCAATAAAATGAGCAATTTGTCAAGGCAGCACAGAGGCTTTACCTGAATGGGGTTTTCCTCCGTGGCGTGTTTATCCCGACGTCTCCCTTCCACCCTGCGGATCGTGCCTGCCTGGCCCCCGATCACATCAATGGTCCCACCCAGCTTCCTGGTACAAAGCACAGGCATCTTTTTAGGCTCAGAAGCACCAGAAGGAACAATTTTCCCTGCTGTCAGCAGATTTCTTTCATGCTTTCTTTCCCACCAGGGAAACATCTCTCAAATTGGGATGAGAAGCCAAGGAGAAGCCCGTTTGCATTCCTGAACAATTTCCCTCTGAGTAGGGGTGAGTTTGGGCTCTCTGAACACTCAGAAATGTGATCCAAAGAACCACCATGAACAGGTGTAAAAACAGGGATTACACACCGGGACAGAAATGCCCCATAAAATGCTCAAATCCAACAGACTGAGCAGAGCTTTAATGCTCATCCTTGAAGCACAGAGTTGGTTCTCAGACACGGGGAAAAGTTGGGATGCAGGGCTGCTTTCTGCAAAGCAGGTGTGCAAAAGCTGTTTTATGAATGAAGCAACAGAAACACCCTGAGCCCAAAGCTCTGGCTTGTCTGGTGTGTTCTTCTGAAGCTTTTGATAAAACCCCATCGATCTCCTAAGGGCCAAATGGTTTCCCCAGCAGAGGCTGCCCCTCAGAATGACTCAGTTGTTTTACCACACATCCAGCAGCGTCGCACACAGGCTCAGGAACCAACAGCTCCTCTTATCCTCTGCCAAACTCGTAATCCACTTCCACTTGAGGAGGCAAAGATTAACATCGTGGGAGTAGGAATAAGCCAAGCAAGCACAAGCAATGTCAGCAGTGTGAGCCCTCAAAGCTGAGGTGTTTGCCTGGCTCCTTCCACTCCCAGAGATGTGTCCCATCAGCTGAGATCCAGGATTCCCTCCCTGCACCAAGGAGGGGGGAATGGGCAGGCAGGGGCTGCACTGCTGGAGGTGACACTGAATGAGTGACCACAGCAGCTTCCTGCCAAGCTTAAGAGCTTCTCTTTGAGGGTTGAGGAGACTCAAACATGGCCCAGATGGTTCCCAGGTGCCCCCCTGAAAAACAGGCTCCTCTCTTACCTGTTGGGAGGAGGCCCAGCCTTCATTCGTCCTCCCACCAGAGCCAAGAAATCTGTTTTGAACTCTGTTTTGATGATGTTGTTTTCCACTTCTTTTTCAGCATTTCCTGTTCTTCCCTGCTGAACCTATGGAAAGTCATAGATAACACATAGGTGTTGTGCCTTTCTTTCAAGTGAATGGAGCACTGGAGATCAACCCACAGCAAAAGAAAAGGAACAATCACAGCAACCTATTCTTCAGTCAAGGCACAGCCATTTCTGTCAGCTAGTGGTCATTCCAGCCTCAGCCTGCTGTCCACTGTCTCCCACCAGAAGTCCTGTTATGAGTTCATTAAACTCATATCATTTTCCAAGGAGTCACTAAGTCAGAACTGGAACAGGCAATACTTGCTGTACTGACAATTTGGCTGAAGTTCTGATGGCCACCATGGACTCCAGCAAGGTTGATGGCCAAAGCAGTCTGCAAACATGAAAGGCATGTTTCATGTTTCACAGCAGTGAGCAAAACAACCCTGGGAGCCCAGCTCCCCTCCCTGCACTTCTCTCATCCAGAGGGTTTTCCAAGCAGGCACCCCTAAAGTCACCTGAAATTCACTCCAGTTTTGCTGCCGTACTGGTTCAAACCTGCCAGGCTGATGGAACTGTTCCTTCCACACAAAGATTTTCAACAGAGATTTAATCTTTAAAGAGTCATTTGGGTATTTTTCCTTGCTGAAAGCACACAGAACAGTTCAGAACTGAGGTATCTCCTGCTCTTACACCCTCATCTCTGTGACTACAAACACAGTCCCAGTTTTCCTGGAGTTGAGAGCAGGAGTCACACATCACCCACCGTGATCTTGTTCTCAGTGCTGATGGGAGGAGCAGGGTCCAGCCCCAGCTGAAGCCGCCGCTGCTTTTCACAATAAGCTTTCCATGTTTCTTCATTGAATCCATAATTAAAGTAATCAGAAAGATCAGCACCTGGCAGAGGGAGCAGGAGTTAACACAGAGAGTTCTGCACACTTGCATTCTCAAGCTGTCCTTTAACTGCTTCCATAAAGGGTTAAGGCAACAAAAGTTTTCCAGAGAGTCCAGCCTGTGCCTCTCCCTGTCAGAAAGCTGTGGGTGCCACAGAGGAGACAGTGGCTGCACCTTGGGGACATGGCCTGAGCAGCAGTGGGAGCCCAGGGACACACAGGACAGCACTGGGACCCTGAGGGACACACAAGACAGCAGTGGGACCTGTGGGACACACAGGACAGCAGTGGGACCTGTGGGACACACAGGACAGCAGTGGGACCCTGAGGAACACACGGGACAGCAGTGGCACCTGTGGGACACACAGGACAGCAGCGGGACCCTGAGGGACACACAGGACAGCAGTGGGACCCTGAGGGACACACAGGACAGCAGTGGGACCTGTGGGACACACAGGACAGCAGTGGGACCTGTGGGACACACAGGACAGCAGTGGGACCTGTGGGACACACAGGACAGCAGTGGGACCCTGAGGGACACACGGGACAGCAGTGGCTCCTGTGGGACCCACAGGACAGCATCTCCACGGGCCATTGGGAGCTCCCTGCAATCATTTATTCACCAGTCTGATTTTTTTCAGGCTGGTTTCTCCCAGTTGTCCACATGAGCTGAGTGCTGGGCACAGCACAGGAGTGGCAGTTCCAGCCCCCACCATAAAAATGAGGTGGAGCCACAGAACCTTTTTTCTGGAAGAATTAAGCCCACACATTCCCCTCCTGACCATCACTGCCTTTGCTGTTTTGAGAGGAGATTCTGGGGCTCGATCATTTTGTGAAAGGCAGCTAAAGTGGAAGGTTTTTATTGATGCATCCCAGACTACACAAGTAATTACAGTTCAGTCATAACCCTAATTATCCATCCCAGGGTGTTATCTCCCACTGCCAGTCTCCTGTGCAATGTGCTAATTCAGCATGAGCACTTCTGAATAACAGAGGTGACCACAAACTGCTTGCCAAAAAAACAGAGATGCAAAGGGGCAATCCCAGCTGCAGGAATTCCAGGAGCACCCCTCCCACCTTCCAGCACTACAAAGCACCTCCTGCCTCGCTAAGGTGTCCCTCAAACATCCCTCACACAAAGATATTCCTACACAGACCAACTCCAAAACAAAGAGCTGCTACAAGAGCAAAGCAAAACTCTGCCCAAGATGAGCTTGGTTTAACTGTGAGGTTTAAGCAGTGAGGTTTATCTCCTGGGCTGGCCACTCTTCCTGCTGTACCACTTCCTGCTGCATCCACACCAACTCAGCAACACATTTACTTGTCGATTTTATCAGCCTCCATTTCAGACCTCTATCAGTTCCTCCACACAGGATTTCTCCTTCCTCTCCCTCACTCAAAGACATACCAAGCTGCTGAACAATTAACTGTACAGTATATAAACTTGAAAGGCTGTTGAGTAATGAGCTACTTGTTATCTAAAATAAACTTACAGACCACACAGCTCGGTAGAAATCTTCCCTCTACTGCATTCCAGCAGTTTTAGGGCCAGCTGACTATTTTGGTCCAGGGATGTCAGCATGGCCACAATCATGTCCATGCTTTATCTTTGAACTTCACTCATTCTTTCTAACTCATTTTCTTCCCATTCCCCTCTGTCTGACTTGGCACTCAAGGAGAAATCCCTGCAGAAGAAAAACTTCTGTTCCATTCTGCCTGCACTATCTGCAGGGTGCTTCGGTGCTGGTTGGATACCTGGACGTGCCCATGGAGCTTTCAGCACTGGAGTGCCTTTCCTGTGGGTAAGAGATACCCAGACCACACCAGAGGCAACCTCAGGAAAGCTCTACTTACTCAGCACAGCAATATTGCTGAAAGATAAATAAAATACAGGGGCTGGCAGGGAGAATAATGATGGCTGAGAAAAGGCAAGTGGACTTTTGGTTTCAGTTGACATTTCATAAAAGCACATTTTATGAGTAGCACAGCAAAAATCTGGATGTTTAGTTCCTTCAATTACTTTTGTATCAGAAGAAAAACAAGAGCTGATTTGCAGCATCCTACAGCTGTAAGAGGAGAAATCTCTCTCAAACAAACAAGTGTGGGCAGACCCAGGACCCAAATGAGGAGGGACCACAGGGACAACTCTGGGCTTGGCCTGGGGACACAGAACAAGCTCCAGCACAGGAAGAGGAAAACAAATATCAACACCCAAATCCTGACCCCACTCAGCTGCCTTTAAGGCCAAACATTATTGGATTGGCATCAGTGCAATGTTCTCGGGAAGTAGGGGATTAATAAAATAGACCATTTAAAAAAACCCAGCTGTTCCCTTTAGGGAAGTTCAATTACAAGAATAAATGCAACCCAATTTTACGTAGCAATGGCTTGTTCAGTCAGTAAATGCCATTGATTGTCTAGCCAGGCAGCAGAGGCTGAGCAACACGCAATGTTCCAGCTTCCCTGTTCCCTGGCAACAATAAATGGACAGAAATTACATGTGAAAATAAAGAGACACAACTAGAACTGCAAAAAATATTTACCACAAGGAACTGTGAGGCCTCACCTGGTTTCCTCCACGGTTTGTCTTCAAATGAATCCAAATCCACTTCTATCACAGGCAATCCATTAATATTCCCTGCGGCATCCAAGTCAATACCTTTGGGCTGCAACTTGGCTTTGGGGAGAGAGGGACTGTTACAACTTTTAATGCAAAGCCTTTAATCCACTCATTTTCTCAGCAAATTATTCCAGCAAAAACAAAGCAGGGCAGTGAATTAATCATCGGCTTTACAGCACGCAGGTAACCACAATCAGCTTTTTAATAAAAAGGACTCCAGTCACTCCATAAACAAACAGGGTGTGCAGCACCTGCAGCTGAACAGCAGAAAAGCAAATTCAACCCAGATTGGTACTACAGACAGAGTAAATCATTAGGACATACATGAAATTTACCCCAAATGAAAATAAAATTAAATTAGTTTTCTCCCCAGGCAAAGTATTTCTTTTCCCCTCCCAAGACAGACACATTTTCTCATAACAAGAGACTTTTTCAGGATCAGTCTTTAGTGGACTAACAAGAATCTGCAAAAACCTGTCAGGTACAGAGCCTACAAGGGGAATTTGTTCTTATTTTCTCAATCAGAAGATAATTCATTTGGATAAAGCAATTAGTGAAAGGGAGTAGATGAAGCCCATGAAAGGACAGTCTCACATATGTGGAAGGAGAGAATCCAAGACTCAATTTACAGTAGAAATTAAACTGAATGCTGGGGAAAATTTCAGCAGCCAAATAAGCACAGCTGATACTCAAGGCCAGAGTTTGCTTCTTTTAGCATCCTTCACTGCAAGTAACTCAGGTCACTGAGTTCCAGTCCTTCTCCAGGGCTGCAATGTTCAGCCCCAGTGCAACAACATATTTTAGAAATATTCTGGGGTTTTACTATAAAAGTATCAATCAATACTTTTTTTTTTCCCCCCTAGATTAAATAGAATTATAATCACCTTGTTCAGTGATGGGCAATTAAATCACTCCATTGCATCCTGCCCCCTCAGACTGTGCTGGGAGCACTGATTTTTAGGATATGCACTTCCTATTCCTGGTTTACACCAATTCTATATCCTTTTAAGCAGAGCAAAATTTGCAGCTGCTGCAGCTATCAGTGCCAGGTAGGTGAAATACTGCAAAGGTGAAGGATAAAAATAACAGCAATACCTGAAGCTGATGCTCCATAGCCTCTACCCGTTTTTAAGTTTAGATTCATAGGAGTTCCCCTATTGGAAAAGAATCACTACGTTGGCATTTGAACAAATTACTTGGCTAAAGATTCTCATGCAAAATATATTCAAGCCCTGACACCCTTCAGGAGATGCTTTAGTTCACCTGGGTTTGCTATTCAGAGTCATCCATCAGAGTGAAACCACCTCTACAACAAGAGAAGGAAATTATCCATAAAGTGGAAAAATTAGAATATGCAGCAAAGCACAGGTAAGTCGTTTGTGTAAGAGGAAGGCTGCTAGCAGCAAGCAGAAGTGCTGTCTTATTAATTTTATTCAATGCACATTAGGCAGAGTTGTAAAAAATATAATTTCCTGCTTCTCAAATCCAGCCTCGCCTTTTCTGAGCCACAGAAAATCAGACAGCTGGAAATCAGTAAATTCACAGCTTCTGCAAATTCCCAGCAATACAGACTTGGGTTCTGGAAGTTTTCACAGATGAGTTAAACAAAACTTCCCACCTTTGATTCTGCCCCAGGGAGCCCAGGAATTAGAAAGCTAATTTTCCAGCAGCAGCCCCACAGATTACCATTCCCATTTTACAGATGATTCCCCAACAAGCAATTGCAGGGCAGAGCTGCCCATCAGCTGCTGAGCCCATTGTGGTGTCCTGGCCACAGCTCCCAGGAGCCAGAGCAGCTCCCAGCTCGTCCCCTTTCCATCCCAACACGCTGGGATCCCCCACAGCAGCAGTACCCACATGTAGGACGGCGCTCCCGTCTTGATGTTGCCAATTGTGACCTTCACGTCATCGTCATCGCTGTCGCTGTCACTGTCATCCTCATCATCCTCACCACTGGGAAGGGCCTGCAGCAGCACAGTCACACAGGAGCTTGTCAATACACACAACTGAGAATTCTCCAGCACAGCTTCTTCAACAGCCTTCAACAACAACAATGGGCAGCTGCCCACAGAGAAACTCCTGCATCCTTTGAAGATTTGGCCCTACGTGAAACTTGGGGTAATATTTGTGAACGTAGGGAAGGTTTAACTCAGTTCTAAGAATTTCACCATGTCCCTCTGCCCCACTCTTTTTGAGAGCTGGGGCTTTTCTGACACACCTGCTTCACAAGGGCCATGGTCAAAGTACACAACCACAAATGAAAACCACCAAAATACATTCAGCAGACTTCACCTAAGAACCTCAGGGCAAATATTCTCTCACCACAACTTCAGTGGTAGTGAGCTGCTGAGGAGTTTGGTTTGGCTGATTTAGCACAATCACTTCACTTTACAGATTTGACTCCAGTGCAACCACAGTGCTGGGCACAAAAATAAAGACTAGAAAAAGAAATCTTCCAGATATCCAGCAAGTGCAGGTCTGTGGGAGGCACAACCTGAATTATCACCTCACCCTACATGAGGAAGGTGTCTCTCACCCTCCCTCCTTTTCCACAGCATGTGGGTCTGTCAGAACTCTGCATGAACCTTCTTGATGTGGCAGAAAACAAACCCATCAAAGAGTCCAGGAAAGGAGGATGAGGAGAACCAACTTCCTCCTCCTCTTTCAGCACTGAGCCACTTAGATTGCATTCCAAGAGGTCTGAACCTGTGACAAAACTGATTCCCAGCACTTTGGGCTTTCTATCCCACTGTTACCCATATTTTACAGGTCTTTGAGAAGTCACACTGAATACTGAGCTGGAACACATCGTGCTCTGCTTTTCCTACCAGACTGCAGCATCAGAGACCCTGATCTGCCTCCTGAGAAGGTCTGAGCAGAGCCTGCAGCAGGCTCAAGGCAGGATGGCAAGGCAAGGCTGCGGCTGGAGCTGCTTTGGGAATGGCTGGCAGTGCATCCCAACACTGCAAATACAAAGTGTCAGGCAGTACCAGGATCTTTCCACTCCTTGTTTGTCCCCAGAAGCACAGAAATCCCCACGTGCACCGTGGGCAGTGGGACACGTACGTGCTGGGACATCTCTCTGTCCTCGTTGTTGACGGGCCGGCTCTCCTGGGGAGCATCCTGCAGAGGGTGAGCAGATTCTGTGTGTCTGGTGAAGGGGACAGAGAAAACAAAGTGACCATGACACAGAAGAGAAAGTGGACAAGCCCAGCCTAGAGGGTCACCTACAACCAGTTCTAAAGCCTTTGCTCAGGTGACTTTCACACAATACTTTATTCTTCCTGTGTGTTTGTTCTGCTGGAATTTGCTCAACTACCTGACAAAAAAAATCCATCCTCCTGGCTTGGCTTTGCTTTTGCTGGGAAGAATCAGTTTCACACATCCAGAGAGCACCTGACAGTACTCAACAGCTCAGTGGCAGCTGGCTCAGCTCGGATTTGGCACAATCACAACTGATAAGAATAAGACCATAATCAGCAACATTTCACCTCCTTCTTAAGGATGCTAATAATTACACATGCATTTATTCAGCAGCAAAGGCATCTGTCCCAGAGAAATTAAGGAAAAAGTGACTTTAGTGTTTCTACAAATAGTTTACAGTAAGTAGTTAAAATTCCGAAAGGAAAAGTCAGATAATTATGCACCCATTCTTCTCACTCATTACAAATTACTCCTGATGAAACAATGCTCAGGTTTGGATTTACCTCCAGTTTAAAAGTTTGTACGAATATCAACATTGTTTATTGCACTGGCCAAGCAAGAAAGTGGAATTGATGTACAAGTGTTAGAAAAGAGTGTGCCAAGTGTTACAGAACTGAAATACAGAGAGCTCGTTGGTCTCTAATATCACAGGTAAAACTTAGTAGAACTTCAAAATAATTCTGAGTTTTTTCAAGAGATACAATCAGAACAGCCCAGGCCAAGAAAACCTGATTCTCCACCAGTGCTTTGTGGAGATGTTGCTATTAATTTAAATCCCACGCCAGACAACAAACATCCACAGGATTGTGTTCAAAAAGGAACAGGCAACATCTCACAGAATCCAAACACTGGTCACATCAAAGCCACCTCAGAGTGACACAAGTCACCACAAAAGAAAGGCAAAATAACACAATTCAACAGTTACTGGGTGTAAAACAAAGAACAAACAATCTGAGCCTAACTGAAGCCCCGTTTTGGGAAAGTCCCATGTACAAAGAAATTCATCAGGCCAAGATCAAAAAGAGGGCTGAAGGCTGGGCAGCTGACCAAGCACAGCTCCCATGGGTGCCAAGTTCCTGATGTGACACCTGCACACACTTTCAGGTATAAAAGGCAGCCAATATGTCAGAGGGAAAATCAGCCTCCAGGGATTTCCATGCTGCAGCCACAGGCTGTGACACGAGGACCAAAGCATGGATCACTGGAGAAAATCTCTCTGATGGATCTAAAAACTTTTTGCCCAGTCCAAGCAACTCAGCATTGACCTCTACCCCTGAATCTCCTCAAACATCTGAGATGACTGCGTTCAGGAAGAGTGACAAGTGTTACCTTCAGCTTCAAGTCACATGAAGCATCTGTGGGTGTGCATTAAGATGTATGAACTGGAGTTCAGAGAGACACTTGGGAACCAGGAGCCTTTCCCTAACCCCTCTGCTTCCCAGGAATGAACCATCTGACAGGTCCCCAGCATCGTCTGGGCACAGAAAAACATGGCAGAGATTTCACTTCTCCAGAATGCCAACACAATCCTGGGCACTGCTGACAGCACAGCTTCCTGCTGGCATCTAACACATCCCTTAGGCTCGGGAATGTCAATGATGCTGCATCCCAAACTCTGCAGATTTCTGCTTCCTGGCTGGGGACAAACACTCCAGACAAGCCAGCAGTGCATCCCTGGAGCTGCAGCTGCTGACAGCAGAGCAAACAAAGAGTCATTTTTCTTAAAACACCCCACAGCTCTTCATTTAGGCAGATTCTCATCGTGCAACAAAGAAATATGGGGAAAAAAATAAAAAAAAGAGAAATAAAGGAGAGCCAGCATAGCCACTAATATTCTTCCTTCCTGCATTTTGCAGTTATTGGAGACAGTTGCTGGAAATTTAGATTTTTAGTCCTGCTTGTAAAGTAAAATTACATTCAGATGAAAGTGACAAGGAACAGCAGATTTATGTAAAGCAGCTGTAAATTTCTGTCTAAAATTTGTTCCTCCTCACAAAGCTCATTTGATGTTTTCAGGTAACAATTTACCATGTTTTTTACCACTTGTTTATCTGAACAAGTTTTCATATTCCTTAAGCACAGAAGTAGGACAGTATCTGTAACAACCTCAATATTCCAAACACTGCACCTACAATAACAATAACACTAAACTGAACTTTGGAAGGGGCTGAACACACACAAGCCCGGTGAAAACCAAGCCTTCTGAAAAATGTTACATTTAAAATGGCAAACAGGTGTTTGAGTCTGTGCTGAGACCAAGCTCTGCTGGTGCAAAACACACAGCTACAAACAGAGCAAATATAAGCCAGGACAAACAATCCCTTCCATACACAGAAAGCCAAATTCATCATTGGTTTTATCTCCAAGTTTTACCCACACCACTTGAGAGATCTCACAGAATGTGCTGGTTTGAGCATCTCAAGATTTTAACCCAAGCTCAAGGTTTTTACCTTTCCCAGACTAAAGCACAGGCCAGTTTTACCAATGCCAGGCCAGCACAAAGCCAATCCTCAGGGCATCTTTTTTTCCCAGGGAATTAAACTGGAAAACAGATCTGGTTTGAAACTAATTGCTGAGAGAAAAAAAAATAAAAAAAAGGCTTAAAGTTAGTTCTAAATCAAACCAGTCCACTCATCCAGCTCAGCTTCCACATCCATACATGCCTGCCACCCCAGCAGGGCGGCTGGGGATGATCCCATGGGATGGGGAAAGGACAGACTGCTGTTCCTGGAAGCAGCACTGTTGTAAAGCACTCAGAAGCTCTGGTCAACAAGGCTCAATCTTTACACCATGCACTGTTATAATGAATAAACAGCCTCAGGACTCACCCAGAAATTGGTCCATCTTCTTGCTTACCAGTGGTGTCATCTGCAAAAACAACAGTAAGAACAAAGGAATTATTCAAGTGAAAGGAAAGAAGCTAAATTGAAGCACAAAAGGCATCACAGGTACAGAAATACCCAGTGGTGCCAAGGCACTATAACCCAAACACTCTCTTTTCAACAAAGTTCAACTCGAAATGGAACGACTAAAAATAAACCCATCCCAACAAACACCACCCATCCGCAGAGGTGATGCCTCACACCAAACCAAATTAAAATCTTAAGTATCAGAGAACAGAGACAACTATCAGAAACTGAAGTCACCTATGAAGGTCTCTATACAGAATTTTAACGTGCCAGGGAAGAAGAAACATAAAAGCATTCATATGGAAAGCCTATGGGGAGGACAAAGACGTTTCGATAAAGTCCTGTGGTTTACGCCGACCACATCCCAGCCCCGCTAGCCCAGGGGTTCACAAGGTTTGGGTGATTAGCGAACTGAAACTCTTAACAAAGCACGGCGTTAACCTCCCTGCATCAGTGTTATTGATGAAAGGACAATAACACACCGCCACCCGCCCAGAAAGAGCCGCTCAGGCGCTGCTGAGGGGAGGCCGGGGGCGGACGCGGGTCCCTCTCTGGGGCCGGGGGGCAGAGGCCGGTCCCTCTGAGGGGGCCCAGGAAGAGATGCCAGTCCCTCCCTCCCGCGGGGCCGCCCCCGGTCCCGCACGGCCCCG